ATAATGTTGTAACTTCATCAAAAACATTCCTGGATTTGTGTTTTGTTTCATTCACACATGTTTGCGCAACACCTTATTATTAGTTTGTCTACGTCGCCAAAGCTCTAAACACACTGTTGCACTTTGTGATGCCATGCAGCGGTAGTTTTCACGTTAACAGGAATTTTAAATCTTTTGTTCAGTAGAGATTGGCAATTCCACACCTTAAGTCATACAAATTATTCTAGTGATAATGTACGGAGTTTAAAAACACAGTAGCGCACTATATGTATTACCTTATAACATCAGAAGGTGGAACAGAGCCTAAATATGCAGAGTTTGTGTGTTAAACATGTGAATGAAACAAAACACAACTCCAGGTTTGTTTGTAATGAGGAAACAACATTATGACATAGATTAGAAAATAGCGTAATATGGGCATTTTAACTTTTTCCAACTGTGTATTTTGGAGTTTTACAGGGAATACATAAATGGACCGTTATCCAATTGAGTTTATATATCTCTGGAGTTGTCTTATCAAAATTGCAATACTAAAATTGAAAAAGTTAAATTATATCTAGAATATTCTTGCTGTGGGGTGAGATGTCTGCTATTGTGTGATGATTTGACCAATTCTTCATTCACACTTCAAAAAGGGGAGCAGCTAGTCAGGGGCACTGAGGACCCTCTTTGAACCTGATTTTGTAAAACTTCACAATTTTCCCAAATAACAACTGAAAACATTTCTGAATTTGGCCTAAGCTCACGATGATGTAACTTGGCATGACTCAAGACTTCACACAACAAAACGAGACAAAACAAAGCAGTGCCTACCCTTTTCCCAAACACAGAGGTGGGCAGAACTCACATTTACTTGAGAAACTTTTTAATAAATTGTACTTTTTTAGTTTTCTGGCAGCGTTTTACTCCTATTTCAGTAATGTTTATATAGAAATAACATTGAAAATTTGTTTCTTGCACCACTCCTTCAGATATGATTTAGTTTTGCTCATGTTTTGCATCTGAAAATTGAAAATACCAGACTCTTTATTTATGTTTTGTATTTTATATTATGTTTACTTCAAATTTTACTCTTCACAGTTACTCTTTAAAGGTGCTTTTTTACTGGAGATTCAATCAAATGCTTCACAGTATGGCATTAATCCTCAAGCCTTAAGCCTGTTTTTCTAGGTATTTTTAAATATAAAACCACCTGTAATTGAATAAATGTAAAGTAAAGCTGTTTAATGTCACACTGTGGAACATTCCAGGCAGAGCAAAGACATCTCCATAGAAACAAGCAAGTGACGGACCCCCACAAAGGTACACAGTGCACCTTTAAGTTACTCTTACTTGAATTAGTTTCTACTTTTTTTTACTCTTACTTGAGTCATTTTTGGACCACTTCTACTTCTACTTAAGTAAAATTATTTTGAAGTATCGTTAGACTTACTTTTGTTGGCTTTTCTATCCACCTCTGCCCAAACTATACTGTCTGTGTGGCTGAAAACTCCGTGACTAGTTTTAATCTTCAATTTTCAAATGTCAACAAATGCTGTGGCTGTAAATACTCCAAAGTTTGTCTTAACTTTTGGGGAACAACTTCTGTCTAACTCTTCTCTCTAATAGGTTTGAATGGGATGTTTTCTCAGCCATACAACGTGTCCGGGAAATCTCTACAGCTTTTGTGTCTATTAGTTAAAAAACAGCCGTGTTTATCTTCCAAATCCTACTCTACCTCAGTGGTGGAAGAAGTACTTCATTGTGTCACGTGTTTAACGCTATTATCGATTCTTATACTCAAAGTTCTACCATATTTTTCAGACTAAAAATCGTAATTTTTTCATGGTTTGGGTGGTCCTGCAACTTATACTCCGGTGCGACTTAAAAGTTCAAATTTCCACACTGACAGGTGTTCTAGAGGGCGCTCTAGGCTTGTGTTCCAGTATCTGCTACTCCTATTACTCCTGCACCACTGTCACTTTGCCTTTTACTGTGCATGTCTCCTAAAGAAAGAGCCTCTGTTCTGCTGCAAGTAGTGAAATATTCAGCCAAAACCAAAAATCGAGCAGAAAGAAAGTTTGGAGTGAGCGAGAACCTTGTGAGGGACTGGAGAAAAGCAGAAATGGAGAACACAGCTTCACAGCAACCAGGCGGGTGCACCATACTTTCCTGGAAGTCACTGGACGGATCGACAAAGCCTGGACGTCAGTGACAACCGAAACCATCCTGTCGGGATTCAGAAAGTCCAGAATAATTCTAACTGGAACTGATGCTGAGTCTGATGACAGCTACACAGAGGAGGGAGCGGCGCTTTATTTACCTCTGGAGGTCGCAGAGTTGCTCAGAAGTGGTACCAAGGATGAAGAATTCATCAAGAGTTTGGTAAACTTGCTCTGTTCTGTTGTTTATGCTATAGTTATCTGAATAACTGTTCATATGTGCCTTGCCTTTCAAGATGAAATGTCGGTTCCTGGTCTCTAATTTTATAAAATAAATTTCCCCCCAGTCCAGTGTGTCTTGTGTTTGTTGTGTTTTTTTTTTTTCTGCATTAGGCATTTTTCAGTCTGGAGCAACTTATAGTCCAAAAAATACAGCACTTAAAATTTCTAAGACAAAATAATACAACCCCAGACCACAGGATCAGACTGGGGAGGCAGAGGCTCAAGTTCATGTTTAGACCTGGTTTAGACCTGGTTTGTATGAGGTTTAGACCTGGGTTAGTCCTGGGTTAGATCTGGGTTGGACCTGGACCTTTAAAACACCTCAATAGAATACCTTAGTATGTATGTAGAGGCTTCATTATATTCACTTCAAAGCAGCTAAAACTGTTCTGAAAATGAAATACATGAGCAGATAAATTAACGTACTATAAACAATGTATTTCAAAAATTATTCATGTAGGTTTCAATATGAGCATGTCAATCACTACTTTTAGATACCTCACTACTTCAGTAACATTCAGAATATATATCTGGTATTACTGATGTAATTCTTTGGGTCACGACATAGAGACTCTACAATTCCATTTCCACAGACACAGATTTGGACATATTTTGGATTCCAAGAAAAATACCAAATTATTTCTAATCTAAAATGCCAGCCTTGAAAATGTGAGACTAATGTTCCTATCTTCCTTTCCTTCCCTTCATTTTCATATTGGACCAAGCTGAAGAGACCGGTTTCAGATACAAAACAATATGCGGCTCCTAATCACACAATTTTTGGTGCATTTTCGCCATTATATTTCCCCTTGAGTGTTTGACTGGCTCCATAATGGCCGCCCGTGCAGGTGTGCCCACAACCACACACTAATTATAGCTCTCACCTGCGGCAAGCTGTCTTCCCGCTCATATTACCTCCCAAATAACCATACAGTCATCCATTATTCAACCGCCAGTAAACGTAATGATATCAGTTTAGCCATGGGCACCTCAAATTGATTTCCATTCTAATCGCAACACTTGGGGAGGGATACAGAAACGTGTGTGTGTTTATGTATTGTGTGTGTGTGTGTGTTCAGGTCCCGCAAAAAAGTTGTATTTGTGGTGATTCATGCCAAGTAGATGAGTGAAGGATCGTAACGAAGTAAAAGTGATAAAATACTGTACTTAAGTATACGTTTTAGGTATCTGGAGTAGAGGGACTGACACCATTTTGAGGATGTTGTGTCTGTGCCTGGAATGTTTCTCAGCATGGCATTAAACTTAATCTCCATGGAGACAAGCAAAGAAGTTACAGGACAGATTTTTGAAGGTATTTGTTAGTGTATGTGTTTGGAGCATTCTGTGCAGGTAACGACAAAACCTTGTGTCTAAAAGAATAGAAATAGAAGTTTATTTCTCACATTTTGTTACTGTATAGATTAATTTAATAATTAAATATTCCATAACAGTGAACACCTTATAATAAATGCATCTTAATTGCGAACACATCTGGAAAAAAAAAAAAAAAAAGTTTGTGTTTATTTCTTTGTTTTTTTGTAATGTAGTGTGGTTGTAGTCTCTCTTTTTTTTCCCTTCCAAAAACATAAGTAAAAGCACGTTTATTTTATTATTATTATTATTGATGACTTCCTGATCCAGGCTGAAAATGGTTCTGTTTAGCTGTGCATAAAGAAAGGTTTTCATTCTGCTCTCTTCTCTTTAACTTATGTAATTAATGTCTCTCTCTCTCTTTTTTAATTTTAATCTTTAATTTTATGATGAATATTTATGTTTTGATTTGTTTTTATTGTGATTTTAATGTTTTTCTTATTCTGTAAAGCACTTTGAATTAATTTTTGTACGAATTGTGCTATACAAATAAACTTGCCTTGATGTTTTTTTTTATTTTTTTTTTTTTTTTTTTGTAGCATTGAAAAACATAAAAAAACATATCTGAACAGGCTTGCATTTCCACAAACCTGACTCTTGGAGGAGGGCATTTTGTTCTTTTAGCAAAAATTTTCCACAGTATATGGCACAAAACTCATCAATCTCCATGGAGAATGTTTTGAAGTGTGGTTTTAACTTTTTATTTTCATGGAATCATACAGGTGACTTTGCATCTCTAGAAAGTTACATACATTTAAATGAGTTTTGTTTACTACAAAACTCATTGCTATTAGATCACCATAGCATTAGTTGGTCATCTGGACTGATGGAACAAAGTGAGAGCAGAAATAACAGCACAAAATGCATACAACCCCCAACCATTTAAAAATAGAAAGTGTTACTCAGGTGTGGGGAGAGGACTTTAAAATCTCACTCTTACTGTGAGGCTCTCGTGTCATGGAGTAATAAATCTAACATCACTGACTCTTACTTTAGGAGGTCAAGGTGTCTTAGATGATACTAAAGATGTTTCCAAGTTAAATAAATAAAAAAACAACAACACATGAACACATTTTAAATATTTTATTTCAAATTAAATTTTGTTATCTTGGAAATTTACAATGTCATCATATTTTACTAAAAATGTATTTGTAAATCAAAGTTTAAATTCATAATTACATATCACATTTTACAACATTTTACCAACCCCTGTGGAAAACTTGACTATGATCTCCATGATATAGAGAAGGGCTGATCCACTCGCTGATTTTTAGCTGTGACATCGATTATCAGCTCCTGCAACCACACAAACAAAAACACTAATTAACTAAAAGTCTGGAAAACAGAACTAACACTTTTGAAACACCATGATTTACAACTTGTGACATGCTTGTCTTCACAGAGATGTTATCGCTTTGTCTGGAAGGTTAAACAGTTTGTGCCACCAGGCCAAGTTACAGGTCAGATCTGTGGAGAGGTGACCCTGCTCATGGTAAGAATGAACTCTTTTGGGCAGTAAAACCACATGGAATTGAATGAATGCAAAAATAAATACGCAAGTGTCGTACTGTGGAACATTCCAGGCAAAACAACGGACCAGAAAAGTTGCATAGTGTGTCTTTAAAACAGAAATACGTGCACTGATGTTTTGTCTCAATTTGCAGAACTGATCCCGCCCCTTCATAGTGGCAATTCACTGTACCAAGCAGATTTTAATTTGTATTTTTATAGTTAAAAAAGGATATTTGACATTTCTGCACCCTACAAGTAAGATCCCAAATTTTCATAAAAGTCAGTGTTACATAATACGTCTCCTTTAAACTCAAATAGGGAATAATAGTAATAAAAAGTAGCACCTATAATATAATCTCATCTCTAGCACCTCGCCCGTCTCTTACTGTACTCTACAAAAAGTAAAATCATGAGGCATCCATTTGACAACAGCTGTCTTCAGTCTATTCCAATGGCTCTACTGCAGCGCCCCTTCCCTCGCAGTTGTTATCCAATCAGACTACACTTAAGAAGACGGATGACAGTCTGAAAAATTGATAAAAACTATAGCTTTTTCCGTGTCTCCTCTGCACCCTGCTTTAGTCCGTCATCTCTCATCCAAAGCTGTGTGAGATCCATCCCCCTCTGCCCTCTCTGCTCCCAGATGAATCCGCACGCACATACACAAATTGGACTTTGCTCATGGAGAATCTGAGCGTCCCTGGCAGATCCGCTCTGTCTCGTCTAATGGTGGTATAAATCTGAAACGCCTCGGCTTTTTGGCCAATGATTATTTAGGAAGATGCTCGAGCTTTGTATTTCGGCTGTCACAGATAAGAATGTGTTATACTGAGGGGAAAGAAACAGATGCTTAAAGTTAGAAGTGGGCCCCAACTGGATAAGTAGAGTTTAGGCTGCTTTCACGAGTTGGTTTTAAGTAGATTTTCAATTAATACTTTCTCAAAGGGCCATATTACGCTATATTGTGATCTAGTTATAATGTTGTTTCCTCATCAAAAACATACCTGGAGTTGTGTTTTGTTTCATTCACACAACACTCAAGGTGACCTCAGACAAAGAGGGCATCTTATTGCTCTTTTATTAATGTTTATTAATGTTTTTAATACCTTTTGTTGTTTTTAATGTTATCTTTATATGTGCAGCACTATGGATACTGTTTTGTTTCTATAATGTCCTATAACAGGGGTGTCAATCTCAAATTCACAGAGTGCCAAAATAAAAAAAAACTGGTACTATGTCGTGGGCCAAACTAAATATTTATTGAAAAATTTCAACATCTGCATGTTTTCTCTTCTTTTTGAGATATGTAATATTAAACCTTTTCTTATTAAAATAAATGTTTAATAATAGTTTTGCTTAAGCATTGAATCCAGACAAGCATAATATAAAATAATAACAACATTTTAAATAATGTCTCTGTAGCTGGCAGGCCAGCTCTAAAACATATTTGATATGACCTCATGGGCCAAATATTATACCGCGGGCCAAATTTGGCCCCTGGTCCTGAGTCTGACATGTCTGTCCTACTGAAATAAAGTGGCTTTGGATAATTGTGAAATAAAAACACCGGGGTCATGTAGAGTGGGTTAATATGAACATTTTAAGACCAAAAGACCCTGACAACAGAAGTTACAGTTATAGCGCAGGAATCCCACTCTTTCTCACTGACAAAATTTGTAAACTTTTCCATGACTTTTTCACAAGCCCCCAGGTTCCAAAATGGCCGCCCATTCAAGTCAATGGGCTGAGCTCAATGGCGCATGATCCCAGATTAGCCTAGCCCGGCTAGGTACTTCCGGTGGTTGTGGGCCGACCGAGCATGCGCAGTAGTGCTCTTTTCTCCCACGGGCACACGCGAATGCACGCGACCACACGCACGGAGCGCGGGCTCTTGTATCACGTGATCGCTTTGACCAATCAGAGCGAGAGGAACGAGAGCGGAGCAGAGCGGAGCCGGAGCTAACGAATATAAAGCGTTTTTTTAAGACAACTGAAGGATTTTGAGCGAGAAAAAGTTTATGATCTAAAAATAGGTAAAAATCGCCACAAAATCCGACATTTTTGAAAGTTGTAGGTGCCCTGTCAGCCGAATACGAGCAGTTTGTGATTACATTGCGCTCTATGAGAAAAATCTTCTCTCGGCCCATGGGATTTTTTTGACTGTAGTACCACTGAGTGGCCACTACGTCAACTGGAGGCAGCTACAAGCTAGCAATACTGTATCCAGTTATTTTAATAGATCCATGCTTTTTCATGACCTACAGTGAATTTTACACGACCTTTACGGCACCTACATGTGTAGAATTGATCAGACTTTTGGGGCTAAATATGAAATGTTAACCCTTTCCACTCACCTTATGGTTTGGTATTACATTTTTTTTAATATTCAAAATTCTGTCAGTGCATTTATTGTCGTCTCTTTTAAACAAAAGGTGCATACATTTGGAAATAATCATAATAGCCTCATGAGAACTTAACAGAACGCTGTAGTTGCGTGAAAGAATACTAAAATTCCATGACTTTTCCAAAACTTTCATTGAATTTACAAAGTTCTATGATATTTTCAATTTCCATGACTTTTCCAGGATTTCCATGACCGTGGGAACCCTGGGAGGTAGTCAATGGTGCCGGAAGTGCCCACATGCTCACTTCCTAATTGGAACGCGGCGGATAGCGGGTAAACCAAGTTCATTTATACCGTTTATGGGACAGACTTGAAACACATAAAGTTGTCTTCTGATCTTTCACATCCAGTTCACACTATCCCCAATCACTTTTGCACACCTCCCTCTTGTCCCATCATTTCCAACACAGGAAATCCTTGTTTTTACACGAGTGCCTTTAAACATGCGCCGGTGTCCTGCCTGGAGAGCGGGGCTGTTCATTACTAAAGTGCACTGTCAGGTGGAGTGAAGGCTTGATTACTGCTATTAGGCGTCAAACTAGGGCGCAGCGGGGGGCCGGCTTGTGAACCTGGGAATTTTTGTGTCGAGCTGACAGTTTGTGACAGCCGCGCAATGCTCCATCAACGCCAAACCTGAAATATGAATAAATGCGAGACGTAAGTGACACCTTTTCAAAAATTAATCTGTTAAATGCAGTGATTTGGAAGGGGAAGCTGCAGAGGGGCCCGCGTCTAAAACAGGAGGCAATCGAGGTCAATGATACGTTTGATATGGACTGTTTCTCTGTGTCCTTTGTGTCATTTTGCATATTTCTGATCGTATGAAGGGTGAAGGAACACATTGGTAACACTTAATAATAACTAAATATAATGAACCTTAAAGGAGCACTGTGTAACTTTTCTGCTGAAGGGTCCTACTACTCACTACTTTAACTGAATGAATGTAAGATGGATACTTTTAATGGTGTACTGTGGAATATTCCAGACAAAACAATAACATCATCACGGAGACAAGCAGGTGGTGGACCGCCCCCCTGGAAAGTTCTACTGATGTACCGATTTTTACAGTTTGCAGTGGTCCAAAGTTATTCCTCACTTACCTTATGCATTCTGACCCTCCTAATCATTCACTGTGATGAGTTTTTAAAACATTTTCTCAACTTTCAGAAAACAAAGCAGAGTTTTGCAAACCTTGCGTGTGATATTTGTGAGTTCACAAACTCATAAGAAAACATTTTGAAGGGTTCCCACTGTACGGTTTATATTTGACCCGAGGAGTGGTCGGCCCAATCACAGGTCTTCTGTGGCAGGGGGAGAAGTTTCAGGCAACATGACAACCACCCCAAGACTGTATGTTGTTGTTGTTGTTGTTGTTGTTTATATGGCCTACACGGTGCAAAACAAACATGGCAGTGCTGGTGGACGGTGATGGTCACTTATAAGGCTCTTAATGTGCAAATTTGTATTGCAAAAGTGGCTACATTAATTATCGACATCTTCCCTCTACAGCATGGCACTTGTATTGGTTTTACCTGGTGCAAGTTGGATACATCATTTTGACAGGGGTGGTTCATGCAATCAGCTCGAGGCATTCTGCTGCAAGTCCCTCCTTTCTCTAAACACTTTTAGCGAGAGCCGTTCCAGATGGATCATGTGTAAAACTCAGTTCAGAGTGATACACTTATCTGGTGAGTTAGGTTAGAGTTTGTGCCCTCTCCTCACCTGTGTGTCGAGGTTGTGCTGGACAGTGAGTAGGCTCGGTGTTCCTGAAAAGTCAGTGAGCGTTGCCTGGGTGATTTGCACACTGCCTGCTCCCCAAATCTTCACCACGCCCATCATCAGGCGGTCAGCAGGGTTCAGTCCAGTGTGAATCGGGTTGTTGGTCAGGTTGTTCTGCAAGACAAAGTATTACTGTGAGGACCAGGAGAAAAGTGCAGAAAAGGTTAACAAAAGAGACCAGGGTTTTTAAAGGTTGAATTGACGAAAACCTGGATATAGGCCTGTCAGGATAATGCATTATAAAGTCTGATATATTGCTGAAGACGACAATACACTAATAATAAAAATAAAAATTTATGTAAGTGACACAATAACCCTAAAAACGCATAATCCCCTAAAAGCTATTCTAAATATACACTGGTAAAAAACAACAACAAAAAAACACACACAAGCTGTTGAATATACATTTTTTCCATCCTTTTACAAATATAACAATACAAAAAGTGTACCTATTTATTAATATTTCTATACAACCCTTAGTCGTCCAGGTAGAATTCATGACAAAAGAAGAAATAAAATTTGTCAACTGGACAAAAGTTTATTTTGGTCAAATATGTTGCGCAGCTGACCAGAACTGAAGATGCAGCTTGGATGAGCTACGCAACATATTCGACCAAAATTTGTCCAGTTCACAAATTAAATTTCTTCTTTTGGCTTTCTTTATTAGGCTGAATGAGCAGTAATCATTTTAACTTCTTTTCAAGCTTTTAGACATTGCTTAAAATATCTATTGATGAAAAAGTGATGAAAGTTGTCCTTCTGCTTGTTGTTGTTTTTTTTTGTTTTGTTTTTTTTAAGTGGAAAGCTATTAGACCATAGATATTTTACATGACAAATAAAACTCCCCTAGACATTTTGCAGTGTATTGACCACCCACTGCATGTTTTGTGGCGCCTTGAGATTTTCCTCTTTTTTTTCACCCAAGCTGTTAAAGAAAATCTCCCAATTTTCAAACTTTTCATCTAAACCACAGCAATCTATAGATGCACAACCCCATAGGAAAAGACCTGGCTCTCCAAAATGGCATATGATGTGCTAATCTGCCAGGCAGCATTGGCCCCATTGCTCGAGTTATCCTCATCTCCTCACATCTGCTTGTTCAGACACACACATGCACACACGCACACACACACATGCACACACACACACACTCCCTCTGTACCCCTTGGCTGTCAGACACTGGGGCTGTTTTATCGCTGTGTGAAATTGCTTTGGAATGAGTCTGATGGTAGGCAGAGGACAGACACAGATGTTTGGATGTAGTTTTGCCGTGTGTGTGTTTGAGCGGAGGTTGGATCATGTATGGTTAGATGTGCGCATGTGTGTGTGTGTGAGAGAGAGCGAGCGAAAAGAGGAAGGGGGAAGATAGTGTGAGGGAGAGAGATAGAATAGTTTGCCTGGCTGCAGAGCAAATGGGGCTGCTTTAGTCCCATTAGTCCTAGTGATTACGGGGAGTGTGTGTCACGTCTGATTCCAAACAGTGATCAAACTGGGGGCTCGGCTAAGTACTCGCCTCTCACTGAACTTATACAGGAGACAGACAGTGATTTATCTCTGGGGAGTATTTCAGGTAAGCTTAAAGTTGCAATATGTAACTTTTTTGCATCTCTCCTTGGGGATGACTGATAGATCTTGCATTCAATAAATTACTGATGTTTAATCGCATAAAAAGGTAAAACTTTTACAGCATGTATTCTTACAGTGGCCGCTGCCTCTTTAGAGATCAGGGGTCTCATTTATCAAATTTTACATGGAATTCTTGCTAAAAGTGTTTGAACGGACAGTCCCCAGATAGATTTGAGTCAAATTTCAATCACGTACATGTGCAAACTTAAAGTAATATGCTTTCAATTCCTTTTATTCTTCAAATATGTTTATTTTAAGCTAAATATAAGCCCGCATTTACCTGCTACAAAGCCTGAGTAAACAGATCAGTGCAGAGAAACATCAAGGCCAACTGATTTTATTGTATTATTTAATGTGCCTAGTGCCTCTGCTCAATTTCATTTCTCTCCAGCGACTAGGTCAGGAATTGGAATATATTAGACAGTTTGCAAGAACCCCGGAAGTTGTAGACCGCGCACTGGCCAATCAGGAAAGAGCTGAACTAACCTGAGTTGCGATAGCAGACTGCATATGCTATCCTCCTTTGGACTTCCTTTGTCAAATACAAACTTTGCATTTTTTATTGCACCTGTAGTTCGCAAGTTCATTTCGCTGAAACGACAATGAGCGTCGACAGAAATGTTCACTGCCTGCTTTATTTGCTGTTGTGCCGACAATTACTTAGACACCACTGAGTGTTCCGGCACATTACATACATCACGACCAAATAGCAGTGATTGATTAAATAAATAAGTACCTGCCTACCATCGAGTGAACAAATCCAAATGCTGTGAGGTCAGATGGTTTCCACGAAGTGAAACCGGCTGAATCAGGCTACTAATGACTAGCATGACTGATGCAAATTCAGCAAATCACTCAATTTGGGGACTAACAGGGACAAAACAAACCTAAAGTTCAGGGTTTTTGAAGTTTGGGTTTGAACTGGGCCACTTATTTTGATGTAGATCTTAATCTTAACGTTGAAATGTATTTTTGCATGTATGTACACTGTATAAATGAGAATCCTGATCTGTAACTTGGGTTTGACGTGACACCAACTTGCCTCCATAGAGATAAATGAGTTGATCTCATACTGTGGAGCATTATAAATAAAGTAATAACATCTCCATGGGCACAAGCAGGCAGCAGACCCTCCACCAGAAAAACAAACAAAACAAAAATTGCATTCTCCGTGAACAATCTTCCATAGTGTGGTTTTAACTCAGAATCATGCAGGAGACGTACCACCTCCAGAAAGTCATTTTACAGTTTTTACATATCAGAAAAATAAGAAAAAATTGCTTTGCTTTGACCAATCGCGTTTTAAGAAGATTTTAAAGATGAGCCACATTATACGCTTTTATGATAATGCTTCTTCAATAGTTTAGGACCCGGAAACCCCCTGTAATAGCTGGAGAATGAGCAGATGTACAGGCCATTTTCAACAGCTCCTTTTGTCTGTGATTGGAGGATATTAGAGCTCCACACAAACATTTGCCAAGGTTGTTTGGGAACACAGCTGAGGTTGGACTGCACCGTGCCATTTCGGTACCCATTTGAAAATTGCACCATCAATTTTACTCCATAAAATTCTGTTTTGCCAGCACCAAAGCCATAAATGTGATTTTTAGCCATAGTAACTGAATACTGCATAAAGCCCTCGATAAAAAGGCGCTGCAGTTGGCATTTATGTTTAATAGATCATCAAGGGTGCTAAAATCTAAGAACGTAATATAAAGAACAATGCAAAACAAATGTGAGCTTTAGTAGTTGATGCAAAATAGCTACATTTTAAACTTAATTTGAAGATGGATGAACTGAAAGTAATAGAGCAAAAAAAGGAAAGTTAAATATGAATTATTAACTAACATCTAATAACATATTTATTTCGAGGGTGCATTTTATTTCTATTGGGTATTAACAGCTAACACACGGGGATGTAACGATATCCAAATCTCTTGGTACAATATTATCACGATATACATCTCACGGTACGATATTTATTGCAATATTTTGGAGAGGCTAATTGAATTGTAGATAGGACACTTTTTTGCTTTTAAAATATCTTGATAAGATTTTGGTGTAAATTATTTCCATCATAATCCCAAGAATTCAAGTAAAAAAACATATCTCTTCATGTTGTCTGCACTGAAATGATACATGGGATATGTAGTTCCCAGTGTTTATAAACTGTTGCTACTATAAAACCATGCATTTAAGCAAAGGAAGTTGTGATTCAATATATTGTGACAGTCCACGGTATTATTGTGGGACTTTAAACGATACAATATCATAATATTTCGGTTATTGTTACATCCCTATTAACCATAAACAGGGTTCAAACAGGGCCCAAGAGAGATCACTAAATTACTCAGACTTGTATGGATGATATAAAACTTCTTCTGAAAATGTTTTTGGTGAGGGTACAATGTTCACATCACATGGCAGAAAGCTCAAAAAAGCCCTCTTTAAGTATTGTAACTACAACAAATTATAATGAATAAAATAACAATGTGGAAAACACTGAACTTGTGCTTCCACTCTTCTTACTTTCTTAGATTTATTAGTTCATTACAGATGTTAAATTTTAAAGGGTGACAGTAACATTTCGTGCTAGTTTCTTAAAGAGCCCATCTCATGCAAAATAACTCTTTTCACATTGTATTTTATGCACATATACAAGCACAATTTGGGTTTTGGAACATCCATTACACAATAGTTATGAAATCACAGACCAGGAACTATGAAAGGCCGGCTATTACTCATCCCTCCCGCCCATCCTGAGAAAGCACAGGCTCCGCCCTCCAAACGTCAAGTAGGCTCATTCCTCCGCCCATCTGCGTGCTAGGTTATTCATCATTACACGAGGACTCGGAATCGGACGGAGTTTGAGGTGCACGAAGCGTAAGCACCGCGTCGACATCAGCTGAACATTACTGATTGGTAAAGTATTAATAAACGCTAGTAGATTAACTTATTATATCATGTACACTGCAGTGTGCGAAGCGCCTTCTGCTACGTCAAACGCGTCATAGGTGTAGCTGGCCGTGTCATCGTTGTAGCAGGCTTAAGTTCGTTGTCACGTGGGAGGGTGCAGAAATACGCTGCAATTTGTTAAAAAAATGCCGAATCAATCTAAAAAACACTTTGGCAACATATACAAGTCCCACACATCACTCTTAGAAGGTAGAAAGCTCTGAAAAGTTGATTTTGCATGAGATGGGCCCTTTAAAAAAGCATATTATCTTTCCCAAAGTTATAATTAACCGTTTGAGAAAATACAGACTTTGAGATTTTGTAACATAATTAATGCACCTTCCTTCTAAAAACACACATGATTTTTAAGCCTTGCTAGGACTCAAAGCGGTGAAAGCTCTCCCCAAATCACCTTCACGAAGTTGGGCATGCGAAATGATGTGCTAATGGTTTCCAGCGGTTAGCCTTTGACTTCCACCCACTGGTCTGGTGCACGGTGGGGCTCGGACTCATTCTGTTTGACCGGATTAATAACAATAACTACGCTGGCTAACGGCGCTAACGATGCTAACAATGCTAAAAGCAGAATCCGTGTGCTTGGCCTCTGAACTCACCGATTGCACCGAGAAGGATGTGAACAGATACTCGTTTCTCTCTGCAGTGTCTGTGAATACAAAAGAAAAAGGCAATTTAGACTCAGAGGAATGGAGACTTGGCGTTCATGTATAGTGAATGAGAAAGGCTATGGAATACAATGAGGCTTTACAGATCAGAAAAGACTTTGACTTGTATGGAGTTACTCATAATAGATGTAGTATTAACTGCAGAACTGCAAGGATCAAGTAACAATGAAGCAGGAATAGAAAATAACTGTACAGTGGTATTAAATTGCTTTGTGGAAATTCTGTGTTTTCTGTGTTTTACCACCAAATAGTGAAAGTGAATGAATATAAAACGACTTTGAGACTACAAAAAATGCTATCTAAGACTGACAAGATTTGTTTATGCACTACTGTTAGACAACAACAACAACAAAACGCAAAAATAATATAATTTCTTAACAAAAAGAAAGTGCTTTTCCAAAAAAAAAAAAATGTTTTGGAGGTATGTGTGGTGTCAAAATAGTCCCATAATACACACGCACGATAAAACATGCATTCGGGCAAATGAGACTGGGACTGAGACCGGGACTGAGACTGGGACCTGATTAGGACTGAAACCGGGATCAGACCAGGACTGACACTGGGACCGGGACTGAGATCGGGACTGAGACCGGGACTGAGACCGGGACTGAGACCAGGACCAAACCAGGACTGAGATCGGGACCAAACCAGGACTGATACCAGGACCAGACCAGTACTGAGACTGGGACAAGATCAGGACTGAGACCGGGACTGAGACCGGGACAAGATCTGGACTGAAACTGGGACAAGATCAGGACTGAGTCCAGGATTGAGACCAGGACTGAGACTGGGACCAGGTCAGAACAGAGACCGGGACCAGACCGAGACTGAGCCTGGGATCAGACTGGGACTGAGACCGGAACTGAGACCCTGACCAGACCAGGACCAGACCAGGACTAGGAGCGGGACTGAGACCAAGACGGAGGACGGTTTAGTCCTGGTTTAGTCCTAGTTTACACCTGGTTTAGTTCTGGTTTAGTCCTGTTTTAGTCCTGGTTCAGTTTGTATGCGGCGCAAAAGTCCGGCATCGCAGTTTAAGTCACGGAAACGGGAAACGGCTGTTATCCGTTTTTTAAATTTTGGTTTTGGAGACAAATAATGAAAAAAAAAAGTTGTTTTTTCGTTTTCTTATTTTTGGCTTTATTTTGAAAAATGAATGAACGATGATACACAGATTTTTACAGCATGATTAAAAATATCTAGACATTTTTCAGACTTCTCAATTAGTTCACATTTTTATTTTTGGTCTTCCTGTTCAAAAGTGCAGAACTGCTAGGCCCTGTCGTAGTGGCATTACACTGTTATAGTTATAAGCTCATAAAAGTCAACTTTGCATAAGATATATCCTTTAAAACAGAGTGTAGAGTGAGGCTAACTGAATTCCCTCTCCACTGTAGCTCCATCCCGACCTGTTACATTACCGGCTGAATCTGAATGACACATGATTGAGTGACAGCCTGTGGAACGCTGTAATATGCCCAAGTACAAATGGATCATATCAGCAGGAAAGCGCTACGCAGAGGCAAAGAAAACAAGAAAGACGTGCTAAGGTTAGACTGCGGACGGACGGGGAGAGGCAGAAGACAGGAGAGAGGGAGCAGATAAAGGAGGAGTGATGGAGGGGCGATCTGGAGGCAGCGACACGGCGAATTACTGTAATAGTTTCTGTCACTCCCCTTCTCTGTCATCCCTCGTTCCCCTCTCTATCTGTCCCGCCAGGCTTTGTCCCAACACAGGCGCACAGTTCGGTTCATACGGCTGCGCTTGTAATGTTAGTGTTATGATTTAAAGCTAAACGTAAGGACATTTTTGGAGTGTTGAATAGACTTTGCGTTGAACCGTGAAAAATTGTATTATCATCGGAGCTCATGTATCTCGGATGTTGAGGCTTTGAAAACTAGAAGCTATTTTGAATCTACAGCCTCGAAGTCCACAGCTATTCCCAGACAGGGGACTCATTAAGGTGAGTGTCTTGCCCAAGGGCCGGATGACTGTTTTGCCCAAGAATACATAAATCGTGTCCATTGCCTGTTATAGGATTTGAACCACTAACCTTTTAAAGAAATCAGTAACACTTTAGATTAAGGACCACATATTAATAGCTAGTTAATTGTAAAATGCATAATAAGTGCTTAATTACATCTTTGTTAATATTTATAAACAACTTCTAATGCATAGTACTAGCCCATTAACTATTTTCTTCCAACTAAAGTAGTGGAGATTACAACAGTTGTTTTTGTGCACACACTGAAATCTTAGTAAGTATTATTAAATGTTTCATTAATACCAACTAATAGCTAAGTAACAGCTAATTAGTATACCAATCACCACGTAGTTAGCTATTATTATGTGTTCCCTAAACTAAAGTGTTACCATGAAATCTTTACTGGATGAACTTTGCTGATTTCAGGGTTCCTACTCTTTTTTATTGACAACATTTCAAAATTTTCCATGGCTTTTTCATGACCTAAAGTGAATTTTCCATGACTTTATGGCACCCTGCATGTGTAGAATTGATCATACTTTTAGGGCTAAATATGAAATGTTAATCCTTTCCACTGACCTTATGGTTTGGTATTATAGTTTTTTAACATTCAAAATACTGTCAGTGCATTTATTGTCATCTCTTTTAAACAAAAGGTGCATACGTTCGGAAATAATCAAAATAGCCTAATGAGAACTTAACAGAACATTGCAGTTGCATGAAAGAGACACTAAAATTCCATGACTTTTCCAGGCCTGGAAAATGACATTTTCAGTTTCCATGACTCTTCTAAGATTTCCATGACTGTGGGAAGCCTGTGATTTCTGAGCTACAGTTTGTTCTTAAATACTTCTCCTAAAATAAAGTGGGACTAAACACCTAAACCCAAACCACAATCACATTTCAAAGAGAGCTGCAAAACAACGCAGTACCTAAAGGACTAAAGAGAGACAGTGTGATTGATCTAATGGGTACAGTTCTGTGTAATGTCACCAACTGCTGGCCACTGCAGAGGCCACTGAAGGCAGCACTAACTTAGATTTACGCGCTTCTGACCAGCAATCTACAAATTTACAGTTTAGAATTGAAAAAAAAAAGGGAATTTGGTGTTGAATTCCACTTTTGGGTGATGAAAAGCCTTGCTTAAGGGCTGGATAACTGCCTCTCCCAAGCACACATTAAAAGGGTTTGTTGCAGGATTTGAACTACCAACCTTATAAACAAATATGCATTGACCAAACCTTAACAATTGGTTCTTAATATGGTGACAAAATGTTTTTATTGGACAGATTTGACAATGAATGAATCTTGCACCTACACGACTATTAGCTGAGATAGAGACTAGACTAGACCCTCAAAAATTGAAAACTGCATTTTTACACACACACTTTAGCGCACAACTCCAGTGATTGAAATTTGAGTGCCAAGTACAAATCCTAAGGCCATGTCACAAATTGGAAAAGAGCAAGAAAAGAGATGCTGTGTTCGAGGCGTAGAAGATGAATCATCACTCAAATCTGAATGTAGTACTAAAATAACATTCACTGTCAAACGACAACAGACAGTTCGGTTTTATTAGCCTGCCAAGTGGACATATGGCCCCAGGGTTAACCACAATGTTGGCATGCCTACTGTGCTCTGCTGAGATGAATGAAATCTCAAGATAAAATATTAGATAGAGCCTCTCGAAAAGGTTCCATTTATTTTCAACCACAAATGACAAATAGAATCTCTCATAGGCTGCGACAACTTTTTAGAATTTGATAATACAAAAAATTCTGAGCGGGATACATTTTTAGAAAGAAAACTTGAAGAAAAAGATATACATATGAAAACACCTGCATATAGGTCAGTTTAAATTAATGGTAAAAGATTTAGGAATTGCATCTATGGTTTGTAACTGTTTTATGTTAAGACATTTTTGTACTGTATTTTTCGGACTATAAGGCACACTTAAAATCTTAAAATTTTCTCAAAAATCAACAGCACACCTTATAATCCAGTGTGCTTCATGTGTTAATTCTGGTTGTGTTTACTGACCTCGAACCGATTTTATGCTGTACACAGCGCTCAAAAATCTGTCAAAATGTTTTAGTACGACTTTGGTAAGCTACAAAGTCACAACGATTGACAGATTGTCGGAGCATTACGGCTACAGCAGTCAGAAGCCTCGCCGAGTAAGAGCAAGTGAGCTGTTTTTTTCAGTGCTTATAGTGTATGCAAATTAGCCATATGGTTTTAAGTTTAATTTCTGTAAAATGTAAACAAATGTGCACAAAGCTGAATAAAACACATTATTACTCAGTGTATATTTGAGTCCTCCTCACAGGAAATAAAAATCCAAACTTAAATTATCCACCTACTTTCACATTCATAATACACATTCACCAAGACAGGGAACCAACGCTGGGTGAATTATGCCACGATCTGCCAATGGATCGTGGATGCCTGGGCTAAGATATCAGTCTGAAGTGCCTGTTTGTTTTTTCGCTTAATGTGCCTTATAATTCAGTCTGCATTATGTATGAAAATAGATGAGAGAATTCAACGTTATTGATATTGCGCCTTATAATCCGGTGCGCCTTATAGTCACAAAAATATGGTAATTGTTATCCAAGTAAAGGCTTTTTCACAGTGATTTGCCCTCCCTCTTTTGTATTCCATAGTGAATGGTACCAATCTGATTAAATGCACGTACCGATGCTCTCGCCGTCGTCCCAGAAGAAGGATCCTTGTGCGGTGTTGGAATCACTCAGGGCCACGATCAGTCCAAGTGGATTTGTGCGACTGAAATGGGAGCAGTACAGAGGTTAGCGTAGCACGTAGCCAAAGGACACTGCCTCTATATATACACCTGCCTGTGAGGACAAATGCATTAACATCTGAGCTGAGGGGGGCCCACCTGATCCCGATGCTACTGCTGCTGGAACACCATGCACCTAAACCGACGATCAGGATCATATGCGCATACAAGAGAATAGAGGAAGTCTGATTGGGTAATGGGTTACCTGCTGTGCTATCTCTGAGTCTGGCTTATACAAGTTGAAAGACATTGCTGACGTGGGAACGGCCTTGTCCTAATTCAAATAAAATGCAAATCCAAAAGTTGCTGAAGCATGGAGAATACATTTTGATTACAGTTCAGTGATAAAATAAAACTTTCAACTTATTCTATGTTGGACTTTTCTTTATAAATAAAACAAATACAAAAAATACTAATACCTAGTTTCGATACTAGTTTTAGTATCTGATTTTCGATACACATGAGGCAGCATTGTTTTTTTGTTTTGCATGTATCTCCAGATTCAGACTTGTAGCATATATGGATACATGTTTTTGAAAGCTTTTTTGATATTATGATTCCTAAGACAACTTTTTTTTTGACTAAATAGATTGATTTTGTGAGTCAACATATTTCTTATTTCTTTGCCTCATAACTTCACATAATATACTGTAACCATTTCAAGTATCTGTGATAGTTTCAGGCAGTTGCTTTCGCATGATTTCTTAGCAACAATGTGCCTGATTAGGTGAAACAAATTTACCTTGTCAGTAGCTTCTGCTTTCGTCAGTAGGTTCTGCATTAGTTATTAGAAAATGCTATGCAAACATTTTACATTTACCTACGTTTTTTTTTGTTTCTTAAGCCTTATCCGCAGTACAACCTGGGGGACTTCTGGTAATTTGCAAATTACCGCCCCACCTCTGTGTTACTTTGTATGGGATAAGCAAAGTTCGTAAATGACTCTATTTTACTGACATTGACACAGAGAGTGAAAGAGAAAAGAACACAGAAAGAAAAGAAAGAGATAGAAAAGGTGCATAATTACAACAACAAACACTGACATGCAGATTCGCACAAGACTAGTATTATCACCAGACGTCTGTGTTTGGTGAAATATAGTAGGTAACTTGCAGCGGAATTTTTACTTTACAAATTACAGACATGGAGCATTTGCATGGGATTAAGATTTTAGGCAAATATTACAAATCACCAAAAGTCCACAGGTAATACTAATCCCATGCGAATCGGGCTTAAGTTAGCAGCTTTTACCATATAATGCATAACAACAGGCACAGTCCCATTAATCTATATTTGCGTATTAAGAAAAGTTCAACTAAAACCTACAAAGAAGCAAGGTATTTTCAGTTTTGGCAAAGCTTGAGATGCTGTTACAAAGCATTATTCTATCTGTATTTTAGTACTTAGTCTTGGAAAAATTGTGTGTTTTTTATATATTTAATATTTATTGTGATCTTAGCCGAGCGTGATGGATGAATTTAATTCATTATTTATGGAACAAAGCCATTCTGCACTGGAGCACTGTAACACTTAATTTTGTAATTGTGCTTTTATACGTGTTTGTTTGCACATAATGTGGATGAATGAAATGTGAAATGTGAGACCAGCAAAACAAATTTACCTACGGGTACGAATAAAGCAACCTAACGTAAAGTACTTACCTCAACTTCGTGTTTAGCTCTGGTCTCTGCCATGGCAAGATATAACCTCCTCTGACATGAAGGTTAATATGGTCAAGTGGTGTTGGCATGACGACCGTCTGTCCTCGCACACCCACGTCTCTAGCCTAATGGAAAAAAAGCAAAGGACTATTATATTATGCTATTTTCTGATCTATGTCAAAAACATTGACAGGGTTTCCACTCTTTTTCACTGACAAAATTTCAAAACTTCTCCATGACTTTTTCATGACTTAAAGTGAATTTTCCATGACTTTACGGCACCTACATCTGTAGATTTGAGCATACTTTTCGAGCTAAATATGAAATTTTAAGCCTTTCCACTCACCTTATGGTTTGGTTTTATAGTTTTTTTTAACATTCAAAATACTGTCAGCACCTACTGAAATAATCATAATAGCCTAATGATAACTTCACAGACTAGTTGTGTATAAGATATACAAAAATTCCATGACTTTTCCAAAACTTTCATTGAATTTACATAATTCCATGATAAAATTATATTTTCAATTTCCATAACTTTTCTAGATTTTCCATGACCGTGGGAACCCTGCATCAAAAACATACCTAGAGTTGTGTTTCGTTTCTTTCACTCATGTTTAACACAAACCTTAAATTGTTCTTCTCTCAAACAGGGAACACTCTCTTCCACCTTGTGATGTCATGTGCTAATACAGAAGTGCTCTACATTGTTTTTAAAGTCCATACACCTTCACTAGAATCCCTTTTTTATAATTTCAGCCTTGGCATTGCCAATCTCTACTGAACAAAAGGTAAAAGGTTAAGCGATTCATGACATCACAAGGTGGAACAGAGCATCTTGAGCAATTAAGATGTACACAGAATAATAATGCAGCATTACTCAAATGTATGAATGAAACAAAAAACAGCCCTGGGTATGTTTTTAAGGAGATAACAACATTCTAACATGGCTTAAAGCTCCATTTTGTGTAATATTGATTTTAATGTAACTTAGACCCCAATTCACCTCACACAACTTCCAGACTATACTTTGAAACTTGAATGCCACAGTAGCAGCTGATTCTACACTCCGTTTACTTGGCCATTACAAAGTACTTTTCTCGTGTTGAGCTTAATAGTGGAGTGGAACAGCTGTGAGAGAGTAGAGGGCTATGGCTGGGTTGTTTGTGTTATCAAGCTGCCTTCTGTACCACTGCTATCTCTTTTAATGTCAAAGATGTTCCTTGTTGTTGTAACCAGATTTTCTGTTTTCTATGGTCTACATTACAATTTACAGTAACGTCTGTCCTTATTATTAGTCGCTCTAGTGTTGTCACGATACTAAAATTTCAAACACAATTTCGAGACTCAATACTGATTCCGATACCACAATAATAATAATTATAATGAAAACAACATTTCATTTAGACAATTTTCAACATTAAATCTTTATACTTTTATAATACTATATGGTCTTATATCTGTGTAATCCCTGAGTCGTCCAGGTAAATTCCATAATGGTTCATTGGGATATGCTAGTTTATGTGGTCTTATACTTGTTCTGATACAGCTCAAGATCATTCTAAAACTGTTCAGGAATGGTTAATTTCTGTCCTGTGAATGTATCGTATTGTTTGGACTATAAGTCTCACTAATATAAGTCTAAGTCTATAAGTCTTTTTGCATGGTTTGGGTGGTCCTGCGTCTTATATTCTGGTGTGACTTATATGTTAAAATTTTCACATTGAGGGCGCTCTAGGCTTGTGTACTCCTGTACCACTGTCACTTTGCTCTCTACTGCGCAGGTCAGCTGCAGAAGAAAGAGAAAGAGCCACTGTCCTGTCTGGTAACATGTCAGTCGATCACACCATTACTTCTGCACCACTGAAAATTAAAAATTTGATGCTGAGTCTGATGACAGCGACGCAGAAGAGGAAGTGGCACTCCTTTTACCTCTGGAGGTCATATAACTGCTCAGAAGTGCCACTGAGGATGAAGAATTCAGTGGATTTAGTGATTTGGAGAGCAGATGGAGAGTTTGGTAAACTTGTTCTGTTCTGTTGTTTTATGTTATAGTTATCTGAAGAACTGTTCATGTGACGTTAACAGTCTGTTGTTCTCTGTTCTATTGTTATTACTATAACTTGTCTTTCAAGATGAAAGGAAATAAAATAAATTTATCCCAAAAAGTGCAACTTATAGTCTGGTGGGACTTATATATATTTTTTCATCTTCATTATGCATTTTTTTTGGTTGGTGCGACTTATACTCCGGAGCGACTTATAGTCTGAAAAATACGGCAATTTTTTTTTAGTACTGATATCTTCTCAAAGGAGTACTGAGTTTATTTACTAGTTTTAGTATCCAATTTTCAATACTTTTGACAGCCCCACTCATGAGGCAGCATTGCTTTTGCATGCATCTACTGGTTCAGAGTTGTAGTGTGTATGAATTAATTTTTAAAAGCTTTTCTGATATTATGATTCCTAAGATTATTTTTTGAAGGTATAATTATATTTAAATGAACATCACTGTGACAATTTGTTAACTGTTCTAAATATGTTCTTTTTGTAGTGGCACATTTTCAGTATCTTACACAATAGTTTCTAATGGTTACTCTTCTGTATTATTATTTTATTTATATAGTTTAGTTTGATGACTAAAAGGCTTTTAAATTCACTACTGGTTATGTGCTGTTTCATTCATCTGACCATTACAATAAAGGATGTTAAAACAAACAAAACAAAAAAAATCTGTGACTCATGATCGTGCTAATATACAAGTCAATGCCCTGAAAGCTTGTTTTTGTCAATGTTGCATTAATAGCATTATTCAAATCAGGATCGTCACTGTGAGAAAAAGCTTTTAGTGTTGTTTATTTTAATACAAAATTACCCATTTACTTTGTACAGTATGCCACTTCATTAAGTACAGTTTTGTTCATTTGTTTATAGCTTTTAGCCTTCATTTGACGGGCCACCTCAGTGTGTACAACTTCACCTGACACATCACCCTTTTTAGAAAACTGACTTTGTCCATTTGTGAATCAAACATAGCCATTCATTAAAGGTGCACTATATAACTTTTTGCTTGTTTCTATGGATATGTTACTGCACTGCCTGGAATGTCTGACTTTAAATAGCTCTACATTACACTTATTCAAATACAGGTGGTTTTACTGCTCAAAATACCGAGAAAAACAGGCATTTTGATCGTGAGTGGGGTTGCCTCTCCACAGATCTGACCTGTAACTTGGTCTAATTTGGGCTCCATGATAGAAAGGTTTTTTGATTAATTTATGTGAGTTCTAAAACAAAATACCTCTATCTATGTCATTCCATCTAAAATGCAAGAGCAATTTATCTGTGAGGAACACATTTTTAATTTTTAACATTAATTTAATTTAAAATAAGTTTGTTGTAAAATAGAGTTGTCTTTTATGTTTATTAGACAATTTATTCACATTTTCAGCCTAGGTAAGTGTTAATGGAATTACCTCTGTATCTGCTGCTCATGTAAAACCAGGAAATACAATTATAAACTTCAAAGATCTTAAGATTTTTGGTGAAATGTTTACACACTTTCATCTCTAGAACTGCGTGCTACCTCTTTTGCTTTATTTATAGGACCTAATGAACACTGTGGCTGTAATTATAGTTTGTTTTCATTTGGTTTAATTATTTCATTTTTTCTGTCTCTTTTTCAACTAAGTCCTTTTTTCAGAATTTTTTTCAACTTCTACATCTGATGCCCTTGTATTCCCCCTGTATTCCCGAATGTACTTACCGTGTGATAATCGTACCAGCGGTCACGAGGGACATATCCTCTCACTTCTCTGACGCCCTGTTGATTACAAAATTGTATACGTCAATTAACAATTCAAATAATCAACAGCTTTATAATTTTACTTGGTGCTTTCCAATTTAAAACTTTTTAAAGTAATAAAAAAGTGTACATACCATGTCCAAGGCTGGTGTTATGAGAAATGCTGGTCCCCATAGGAACTGTGTGTGGATATCCCATGTATTTTTATCACTGACAAACCTGGAAAACAGATTATATAAATTATGTCGCAAATAACAGAAGTAGATAGAGTAGCCAAAAATTTACTCAAGTAAAATTTAAAACACTGAAGAATAACTCATATAAAACTAGAAGTATATTTTGTGCATACTACTTTTAGGCTAAACTGGGACTAAACCAGGACTAAAATAGGACCAAGTTATAGAACTAATCTAACCTGAACAAGTGTGAATGCAGCCTTCCTCACATAACAAAAAATTCATATAGGAGTACTATTACTTCACAGTTACTCAAGTAAATGGGTCTGAGTAAACCCAAACCACCTTACTAACAATTTCTTACTATAAACAGCAGTGACGTGGACTCTCCTCTGTCCTCCGTCTAACAGACTGCTCAAATACTCATTTAGAATTAAAAGCTCTTAAGATCTTAGCCAAATATCGGTGCCATTCTCGCCTTTGCCAGTTCCTTAAATACCATCTGTAGCCTTCTAAAAGTCTCTTGAATAAATTAATCCATGTATAAATGTTTCATGCCCCTTTTATTAACTCCTTCTCACTGAAAAATTACACCAGGCAAATAGAACTAGCATCGGTCATGGGGGAAGAGTATGTGGATGTAAATAAAGCAGTTACTTTTTCCTGTTTTGCTAACATCTGTCGCTAATAAAAGCAGCTTTGATGGGAAATTAGCCGAGCATTAAAACAGAGTGATGCTAAAAATGTTGCACTCCAATGAAAGCCGCATCTCAAATTGCTTTTTAGTCCGGCCACCAGCTCATGTGCAACTCCGCATGGTAATGAGAGGCAATGCAGTATGAAATCTGGTTATCTCGCCGGCCGATCAGGAAGACGATCCAGCGCGCTAATAAGCAAATGATTGGATTATGTGGGACTGTGATGTTAGCGGAGAAGACGTACTCGTGGAGCAGGGGCCGGATGACGGTGCTCCCCTTGGTGTGGGCCTCGTACATCAGCGTGTAGAGGTAAGGTAACAGGGTGTAGCGGATGTTCAGAGCATCTCTGGAGGCGTTGGCGAAGAATTCGTCCCAAGCAACCGGGTCTTGTCTCTGAAAAGACAAAGAAAGAAAAGCATGTGAAAAACACACATTTGTATTACCTGTGTGTCATCTTAAGACTAATATATACTGTATCACTCTATTAAAGATTAAAGACTTACAGATATGCAGATAGACAACTCTATAAAATACATAAAATACACAGCAGTTTGCAAGTTTATTTTATAATATTGTCTATTTGCATATCTTTCACTCTTTAATGATATATATTAGTCTTAAGATGTGGAAAGGTTCCTACAGGTTGACCCCGAGCATTGAAGGATGACTCAAATGCAAAGGATAACATTTCTCTACAAGGAGAATAAAGTGTACCTTCACTTTAAGGGGCTGGAACCTGATCACTAACCATGAGTCTCTAACATGTTTTAATTTCAACCAAAATTATTATCTAGTTTCCCAATTTCCTCTAACTTTTAAAGATCTTGAGTTAGGCTTGGTCAAGACTAACTAACAGTAAACAAAGCGGTCGAGATGGATGTAGACGAAGACATACATTCTGTGTTGGCAACGATTCACAAGATTGAGGATTTAAAGCTGGAACAAAGAGAATGTTTGGTGAATTTTATCAAGGGGAAAGACATTATTGCCCTTCTTCCTACGGGATTTGGTGCATTACATACCTCACGACCAAATGACAGCGATTGATTAAATAAAAAAAAAAGTACCTGCCTTCTGTCGAGCGAAAGAATCCTAATGCTGCAAGGTCAGACAGATTTCATAAAGTGAAACTGGCTGATGAATAGGCTATAAACTGGTGTATTCAGAAGAAACCCACCCAAACACAAGGAGAAACATGCAATCTTCTCACAGAAAGGCCAGGAACTTTGTTGCCGTGAGGCGAGAATGCTGGCCAGTCAGCCACTGTGCAAATCTGACAAATTGTTACTACTACTACTACTACTGTCAGCATGCCAGGGTCTAAGCACCTGACTGCAGTGTGTCCAGTATTTTTGTCAAGACCAAGGTCAATAACCACTTCTCCTCATAAAGAGACTCCAAAGAAAGAACTTTTTATAGCATGACACTTTTATCCACGTGTCTTTGCCATCACTGACTCTGAACAAAAACATTTTTCTCATACTTACTTTTCCTACACCACTACTACACATTCAAACAGTAGCTCCAACAGAATTGTTTAGCCTCCATTTTGAATATTTCACACTCAAAGAAAACTCTTCAAACATCGCACCACGTCAGCTGCCTTCGAGTGGCATGTTTGAGTAAGCAGATTCACTGTAACAAGATATACTTTGCAAACGCCTCGTGCATGGTTCATTTCCCTCACTCACAAGTACATGCAGGATCCAGCCGAGTGTGGATTTATTATACCGCTCCTTTTTATATGCGCCGATGCTATTTACACTGCGCTGTAGTCTCCGCTGTCTTGACATTATGTTTTCTGTTTATTTGGATTTCGCAACTTGCCAGGAAGGACTTGCAAAGTGCTGTGAAGCATGAAGGACGCCTGACAGGAACACCGTAGCTAGTTAGTAGGCTGGAAGGGCCACGACAAATGGCCCACGAGTGTCGCCTCTGATAAATTACCCACAAGCCACTTCTCCGCCAAATGTAGTGCGCTGACATTTACCTTATTTTAATCATCAACAAGTACGACGTCTCCTTAAGGGACGAGGACCAGCGGAAAGAGGACATGGTGTACTGTCATTTAGGAGATGTAGGCCAATATAAATGCATTAGCCCATTTATCCGGAGCTGCGCGTGGGTAATGTTAAGGCCGGCTAAGTGCAAGGCGTAGTAGACACTTAGCTCCAGCGCGTCATTGGTGTAAGCTTCTTGTCATGATGCAGGATGGGGCAGTCTGACAAGCCAGGGGTCTGTGTTTACAAAATAAATGGATAATGGAATGTGAATAGGTCAAGGCCAACGTACTACTCTTTGGCACGGATCCTGTCTTTTGATGGTAATGAGGTAGTTTGCTTATTATTTATCTATATATTTAACCAAGATAGTGCCACTGACATCATGCAAAGAAAACACTGAAAGGTTAACTGTCAGAGGTGGGGAAGTGCTGAGGTTACATTTAAGAACTAAGTATTTTTCTAGCAGCATACTTTTACTCCTACTGTACTCTTTGGCAAAAAATGGGTGACTATTCTCACTGTGAGTAAGTCTACAAGTGACAATATGTTGACAATATTAAATGATTCTTCTTGCATTTTTGTGGTTTATCCTTTGAAAATAGTGGATTATTTTTGATTATATTAACTTTAAATTACTCTAAGTTACTCTTATTTGAGCAGTTTCTTGGGCCACTACTTTGTACGCATACTTGCGTAATATTATTTACAATAATATTTACAATTTTTGGTTACTCTTCCCAACTCTGTGTCTGAGTCACAGAGTTAAAGAAACTTTGAATAGTTCAGTAGGTAAATGCTAAAAGGAAAGTAAGAAAACATGCAGTAATTGCTTAAGTGGCTATGTTAAAATGCTGTTTTTTTCAATAAAATAAAGATGTTACTCAGGTCTTTATCCACTTTTTACTTTTTAATTTCTCACATTACAAAAAAGGCAAAGGCAAAAACATAAAATATAACTATTTTAAAATCTAATAAATCCAGTACAACAAAATGGGGAATGTATAATTTCTTAACCATACTGAGCTTATTGAACTGTTTTCTCTGACAAATAAATGAAAATATATGGTTAGAGTCCTTGTCAAATTAAAACTACTGCCTCACAACAAGATGGTCCCTGGTTGGAATTCTGGACATCAACTCCCGATCTGATATTTGGGCATCTGGCATACAGGACAAATTCTGTTATTCTCAGGTATATTATTCCCAGGTGTAAATTATCCACAAGATGATTTAACGTTCAACATTTGGCATGTTGCAATCTTCGTGTGCAGTAAGCTTTCATTTTCACCTTAGCACCTTGAAACATGTCAGTGTGTTGTTAGCATGTGTGCGCGTTCATAGGGCAAATCAGTGAAATCTGTGTTAACTCGGTATTAGAACACAGATGGTGGGAGCAGGTACTGTTGTTTTTCATTAGCAGGTGGAGAAGCGTGTTAACTCTATTAACAGTTAACAGAAAATGATATAAGCTATTTTAGTTATTGACAGGTACAGGTTTTCCTTTGAATATTGTGATGATTACTTATCCAAAGATGGTAGGTGGTTTTAAGCTTTTTTTAGACATTGAGATAGAGTAGTGCGACCAGGAATGCTATTCAAATCAGTCACAACAACCCATCCTTTCTAAACCAAGTTCTTAAAAGTACCTATCCTTGATTTTTGCAGTCTTAAAACTTGATAAGCGCTTTAACCTTCAAAGCCTAAAGTTTTTCTGTCACAGTAATAGTAACAAGTAGCATCCAAGCAGCACATTCCCTCTTTCATGGTCAAAAAACACTTCACAATTAGTTGCAGACAGCACGCAGTGGTCTTATTTGGCTTCAAAGCTATGATCTGAAATTAGACTGGCCCATGAGTCCCTGTTGTATTCTCACATTACACCACTAGATGCTATCTACATTACAGTTGTCTGACAGCGTGCCAGCTTTGATCTGACAGAAGAAGATCAGAGAGCACAGGTGAGAATAAACAAAGGCCATGTGAGGGGAGAACAGATTTCACATCTGCCATCTACAGTTGGGAAAAAAAACAAAACAAAAAAAAACAACATAAAATAACGGGCACTGCCTCTTTAACCAAGAAATCAATTATCAAGTGTTGAAACTGTTTGAAGAAAGCACTCCAGTCCACAGAGGGCCATTGCTTTGGTGAGGGTCTACTTGTAGTTCTGTTCACTGCTGATTCATCACTTTAACATACACTGACATCTTCGGCAATTGGAAAAGATGTAGATACAAGCTCCCCTCTTTAAATAGCATTACAGTGATATACATGCATAGCCTAATTAGCATGTAAATCTGCCTAATGCCTTTAATAGCTGACAGAATTGACTTAATAATTATGCTGTTGTTCTAAATGAGTCATTGACAGCTGAGCATGCCCAACCTTGCTCTATTTGTCAACAGGCAGTCAATGCACTCCCGACAGCGCAGGCAGTTTTGTGGGAAAAAGGGAGGAGAGGAAAACAGGAGCGGTGAGAGGTGTAGACACAGAATCTATCTCATGGATTGTAGGAATTTATGTGCGCATTTATAAGGGCAAAAGGCCATGTGACACGCGCTGATTTTTGGACAGATGCGGGTGTGCATAAGTGAAGAAAAATGTGTTAATCGTGCAGAGTCAGCCTACCTCATCAGTCCCGGCCACTTGGGTTTCACTTTCTCTTCATCTGTCTGCCTCTAATCCACTCCCTCGCTACATCTGATATAACGTTTTGGATTGCATTGAGTAGATTTATTTGAAAATGTAACTGGTGAATGCCAATGTCAAATAACTTAATGCTGTGATAATGGACAGTGGAACTTGGGAACTTCTACTCGGACATGAAGGCATATGCTTAAATTAAAGTATTGATTTTCAGATTCTAGAACGTAAGCTCTGTTCCCCCAACCCGAAGACCAGAGGATCAATTCCCACATGGACCAATTTCGGCCCTTGTGGCCTAAGGCAAGACACTTCACCCACCATGACTAGTATGAATGTGGTGTATGTGTGCTTCTGTCAATCTACCCCAGGGCAACTGCAGCTATTAGGGATGTAACGATATCCAAGTCTCACGATATGATATCGTAACTTTATGAACCTCAGGTACGATATTTATTGGGATATCATGGGAAAGCTCATGATATGGTGGGGAGGCTCATGATTAGGGATGTAACAATATCCAAATCTCTTGGTATAACATTTTATCTATATACATCACACAGTACAATATTTATTGTGATATTTTGTGGAGGGTAACAAAACTGTCTTGCCTTGACAAGACTTAAAAGTGCTTAGAACTGTTATTTCTTCTTGTAGTCTACACTGAAATGGAGCAAAGGATCATGGACTATGTAGTTCCCACTGTCTTTTTTTGGCTAGTGCTGTACCATAACTCTAAGCAAAGAGACTTGTAATTCGGTATATTGTGACGGTCCACAATATTATTGTGAGAACTTTGTCGATACGATATCGTGATATTTCGGTTATTGTTACATCCCTAGTGGCTACAGTAGTAACTTACTACAACTGAGTGTGGAGAGAATAAATAAAGCACTGTAATGTACTTAAAGCATCTTGAAAGGTGGTATATAAAGCCAATGCCATATTATTATTATTATTGTATAGTTTTACCTTATTTATTTGTTTTTATTTACAATTTTATTGAATTTCCTTCAGGATAAATAAAGTATTTATCTATCTTACTTTATTACCTGCTAGTTGTTGTCAGCCTGCTCAACAAACTCCTCAGCATTTCTAACTCTCATCATCACCCCAAATGTCTGGCCTTGGGATCTGCATGAAGACAATCCAGCAAATGGCCTGCAATACCTTGAATCATCTCATCTGTTACAGTAATTAGTAAGAATAATTTGGCTCTGTTATCTTCATAGTAAGATACCACAAGTGCACAGACAGTCATTCTGCACAAGTGCTCTGGTAGACTGTGTCCTCTGCTCAAATTGCCAGAATAAATTTCCACTTTGTCGTTTGACTGTGAACAGTAGAGTACAATGCTGGTGTGGTGAAATTATCCGGAGGTCATGACTGGACGAGGGCAAGAGACAGTGGGCGTGACAGGGCATGGAGAATGACTGTGCACAAACTCTCTTCTCCCTCCTCGCTCTCGCTCTCTCTCTACTGTCTGTGCCCTTGTGTACCCTCTGGTCCAATATGTACTGCTAATGCCGAGGTGTCAAATGCCTTGTTGAGCAGGACATAGGGTGCTAACTGTCTCATAACATAGGGTGCTACATGTGGACAAGGCAGTTTCTTTACAATACCGCTGATACACTACCTTGACTTCGGTCTCTTTTCTAATCAGTATTACCTCAAAATAAAAATGAATAAATAAAACAAACTCTTTAGTTAGTTTAATTAGTTTTATAAAATAATACAAAGTCCTGGATGTAAAGCATGTAAATAAATATAGATATATATGTTTGTTTGTTTTTTTGCAATATAATATGAAAAACCAACATAAACTTCATTCTGCTTTTGTCACAATATTAAAATTCCAAACTCAATTTCAATACAAAGGAATAGACTGTTCAGTAATGCAAGGATAATTAAAAAAAAACACTCAGACACTTTCGACATTAAGGGCCAATCCCATTTCTAATTTCTACCCCTACCCCTTCCCCTATTGAAATTAAACCCCTATGAACTGGGACACCCCTTCAACAATCACATACGTCTCTGCCAGCTTTTATGTAAGCAGATGGGATGAGCTTTTGCCAGAAATCCAACATGCCGTCTACAATTTGTGAACTTCTTTGACCTCTGTGGTCATGGTAGCAGCCATCTTGCCGGTGATTTGCAAGGCATTCTGGGAAATTGGTCATACCCCTCCGTTTGGAGTGTGTCTCTGAAAAATCTTCGTTTGGAGGGGTATATAGCCCTACCACTTTCCCCTACCCCTCTGCTATAACGGTCACTGGGACACCCGTACTCCTACACATGAAGGGGTAGGGGAAAAGTGGTATGGCCAAAGGGGTGTAATGGGATTCAGCCTAAATCTTAGTACTTTCTTTTACACTACCATGCTGTCTTATATCTGTGTAATCCCTCAGTCGTTGTGGTAGGTTCCATGTTCCATGTCCTTGGGCGTACACTAGTGAGGTTTTACTTGTTCTGTTACAGCTCAAGATCACTCTAAAGCAACTCAAGAAAGGCTCATTTCTGTACTGATTATGTTACACTTTTAGTTTTCTTATTTATTCAAATGAGCATATAGTTTTGATCATTTCTGATAGTTTCGAGTAGTATCTGATTTCCATACTTTTGACATTCAATAAAAATTATTTCTAACTATATGATGCCATGTTGTGAACAAACTAAACCAAGCAATTTCACAACATTCCATTAGCAGAACCACAGCCTCAGTACAACTACCCCTTTAGTCAATACAGTACACCACGCTCGTGATAGGCCACCCAGGGAAGCAATTTCTTAGCCTTGAGTTAAAATCTAACATTGAAATGACAATCTCTGGATATCTCCCTCCAATATCTCTCCCTTTTTTCAGCTTTATCTTCTGAGCCTTAAGCCACTGTACCTCTCCGCGTGTGCCTTTTTTGCTCAATTTTCCCCATGTTTAAACACCCATTTGCAAGCCATTATTAAATGATTGGAATCACGGGGCGTATGTGTGCATGGAGGAGAGGTGAGAGGTGTGCCGTGGTGCCCAGATCACCTTGAGAATTCAATTATACCGGGCTCCACGCTGTTAAAAAGAGCGCGCGCACACACATTTACACACGCTTACACACGCGCACCATCCTGTCCTGTCTCGTATTGCAGAGTCGGGGAGCAGAGAAATTTCACCCGCTGGGATCGATCTCCGGACGGGCGTTATTGGATTTCTCAGATGTGTTCTAACGCTCTTAAAGGTCACTGCTCCAATGAATGCCAGCGACACTACACCGCCAAACAGGTCTATTGCAATGTGTGTGTGTGTATGTGTGTGTCCGAATGTGTGAACAGATTAGGGTCAACAGATATCCAACCCTAAAGGTATAATGGTATAAGAAAAAAACACTACTTATTGCCTTAATAAAGTAAAAAGAAAGACTTAATCCATAATGAACAAACAGTTTACTAAGAATGAATCAGGTTTAGTAAGGGGTTAAGGTTAGACGTTTACAAAGAACACATATTATGCAACATTAACTTGATTTTTTTTCGCTTTTAACCATGTAATATTCATGTAACCTCATCAAAACATACCTGGAGTTGTATTTTTCCACCCGTTCATTCTTCTCTGAGCACTTAAAAATGTTCAATTCACATTTTGCCTGTCACAGATATTCCAGACTGTTGCAGTTTTTAGGACCATAAACACTCAACAAACTCGAGCTGTGGTCAAATTAAGTTAGGCTTTATTGGCATAGCATCCACTGGGATTTGTTTAATTTCCCATTTTTCGTTCCCTTTGCTGACAGCAGAGGGAGATCCAACGCATAAATTCCTCACAGGAAATGGACATGAATTTTAAGATTTTGAAAATGTGAAAATACTATTCTCAAGGTGACCAAAAGCATGTTTAAAAATGGAATTAAGCCGCAAGAATGCATAATATGTGTTCTTTAATTAAGTAATATATATGCATGTTTAATTAAGGCTAAATATGGTGTACTGTTGCATACTGTACTGTACTCGACCAGCCCGATTCATAAATTTAAAATATCAATTACAACTGTCTGACAATAAATTTACCCAAGTGCATGAAGACAAAAACTATACTGGTATAGGATTCTCTATGTCCCCTTATTCCGTGTCACTCACCGGGTTGCCCAAGCCGTTGTGGTTGCGTGAGTATGGATAGAAGGCACCGAGCTGCATCCAGCGCAAGCACAGTTCATACTCTGAGGGGTTGAAGAATCCACAGATGTCTGCTCCAGTCTGAAACACAGGGCCATGTGTGTGTGAAGAGAAGATTTACAAACAGCAGCACAAGTGAGAGGCAGACACAGGCTCATAGCATGGAAGGGCTTATAATAATATTCTGAATGACTGTATCACAAGCTGTCCTTTGATCAACGGGGCTAGCAAACAAAATAACATCACACAGGCTGCTGTAATCTGCTTACAAAGGACAAGGTCACGTCAATAAGATTATGGCTTGTCAAACTCAAGATCAGAAGATGATACTTACATAAGGGATTCCAAACAGACTGAACTCCATCATGCCTAAAGAAAGAGCGCAGCAGACATGAGAAAGGCTTTGTCACAGACTGTAGGTGTACATGTGTGACCCATGCTATTATCACACATGCTCAGGTGTGAAGTGCTGTATACAGCCACATCATTCACTCATCTGTTCCTAAGGAGCACACAGCATGACACGTACCTATGATGGATTTATAGAGTTGGTCCCAGCTGGCGAAGTTGTCTCCCAGCCAGTGTCCAGCCCACTGCCCGCTGGAGGGGTAGGTGGAGCGGGTCACCACGATGCCTCTTTTACCTGTGGTGGCCAGCAGGGCGCTGTATAAACAAAGCACATGCACTCATTTGTCTTATCCATCACACAGATAGCTCTATTTCAGCAAAACTAAAGGACTGTACATTTTCTCAATGAAACTGTTGCTTCAAGTCTGGGCTCTGAGCCCAGTGTCTCCTGGCCCTTCTGTGGCTAATTCTGCAATCTGGCAGTGATAAGGGGACAATCTGACCACTCGGACCAATACAAGTGCAGTGGTGATTATGAGCACAGACTGTTTTGATGTGGATGAAGGTGATTTTCTGCACTGTGCTATGTTGGACATATGGGAGGAATGATCACAGGCCGGAAAAGTGCTCCTAAATCTAAAGACTGGTGCAGGTCATTCTGTGAATAGGAATGCTCACACACCAGTCTGGCAGCCAGGAGGTGCAAATGAAAGCAGTAACATGGGAACTATCACTACTCAGACACTTACTGGAATATTTCAAAGTGTCTCTACTATATCAGACCTATCCTTCAACTTTACATCAGATTACATTGTAAATATAGTGTCTGTGTCAATCTCAGAAGATTCACAGGTGTCGAGAGGACAGAGCATTTCAAATATATCTATTACTATTCATCTGTATTTACTTTAACAGTGAATGGATATGCAGTTCAAAACCTACTCATAGGAGGGTTTGGCGTGGGACCAGCCATAAAGGTTGTGCACGTCGTAGTGCCTGACGTGTGTCCCGTCGGGGAGGATCTGCTCACTGTTCATGCACAGGGTCTTGTGGTTCAAGCCCATATGTTTGGACTCCAGAGCTGGTCAAAGGGAAAAAAGTGTGGCACAACATAAGTACAAGATTTCTGGTAGCGGGTCCCCACCTGCAGACGTCATGAAAACGGAAAGTTAAAGACTCAGTTTATAATCTTTAAGCCAAAATACTAAATTTGGCTAAAAAAGCATTTCCATGGAGTCATGCAGGTGACATAAACAAGACAAAACCCCATTGTCTTACGTGGCATATATGGCGGATTCTCCAGGAGAGGATCACCAAGACAATTTCCATCAACTGTGCCATGGACAAAACTGGCAGGCTCATTCATGTCCTGTGTATGGCAAAGTGTAACAGTTAAATACAGTAGGAAAAGTAGTTTGTTGTATCATAATTTAGTATAATTTACTCACAATCCAGAGTCCATCAAACTTCATGACATTATTGTAAAAATCTTTAATTTCTTTTTGCCACCACTGGGCGGTTGAAGTGCGGAAGAAGTCGGGGAATGCTGTATAGGCTCTGAATAACTGAATATGAAGTTTGCATTAAAAATGATGTAAGGGGATTTCTTAATAATAGGATAATTAAAATTGACTTTACCCTAACTTGAGTGTCCCAGTCCAAGGAGTTATCTACAGTGACATTTGGTAAGTCTGGCCATACCTATTGTGGAAAAATAACAATGCATTATCACAATTGCTTTAGTATACAAGCATATACTACTTTCTTTTGTCTTACCTTTCCCCATACAATGTCATTACTGAGTTCTTTTGGCCACTTGATAAAAACATCTTGAGCAAGACCATTGGTAAAAGCAGGATAAGGCTGAGTTTCATTGCCCGCAATGGCTGGATCCTGGAATTGGATGAACAATTTAAAACAGTGATTTTTTTTTTAACAATTATGTCTTGTGGCACTGGTTAAAGAAAATTCCCCGGCACATCACCCACTAAAACATCACTAAAGCACAAAAAAATTGCTAATCTTTTTCCATTCTTTTTATTTGGCATTCACATTCAGATGTGGATCAGACACTCCAGAAACTGTAAATTATTCAGTTAAATGCATGCAATTAACATAGCTGAATTTAGCTTTCTTTCCAAGGTGCACCCGACAATACCTCAGGGCACACAAGAGTTTCCCACTACAGTGGTTAAAAATCAATTATTTGGAATAAAACAAAACAAAAAAAAGTAATGCCCACTCTCTAAACTTTATTAATTTTGTCTACTTTTTTTTGTTTAGTTGGGATACAGATGAGTGATATTATGGTTCTATTATCCATATCGGTAGATACTGAGAAATTGTATTGAATGAGTATCGCGCTGGCTGATATAGATATTCAATACCAATATATGTGTGTCATTATCAATTTGTCCTCAGTGCATCAGATTTGTCTTTTTGAACAGACTAATGAGTAAATATACAAACAGGAAAGCATTATAAGGCTTTATCTTTACACAAAGATCTAAGAAATAGTTATACATTCATCCAAATATAGAAATGGATTGTAAAAGCTAAATATCAGTACAGGTAATACTGGTTAGTGCCCACAGCAGCAGGCCAAATATCAGGTATTGAATCAAAAAATCCATATCGACCCATCCCTAGAGCGGTAGAGTGGTCATATAATAACTGGGAGGTTGGTGGTTTGATTCCAGGTCAGACCATTCCATACTGCTGTTGTGTAGTTGGGCAAAACAGTGTCTTTTACCAGCCAGTGTGCATTGTGTATATACTGTATATACAATATATCAAAATACTATTGAATCATTTGTGACATGTTTTTCTCACCAGAATGAAGATAAAGCGCATTCCCTCTGCTCTCATTGAATCGACCAGTGCTGGGAGTCCTTTGAAATTCACTTCATCTAAGAGGAAGTCCATCTGACGTTCCATGTAGTCAATGTCACCGTATTGCACATCCTAGAATACAGAGAAACAGCAAAACATCACTGCTGTTTATTTGTAGACTCAAAAGCTAACAGTGCAGTGTTATAGTGTCATAATCTTTCATTTGTGTTTGTAATTTGTAGAAATTTAGTTTATTTGTGTTAGTTGAAATGATTAATTCTATGCCACTACAAGGTTGAAAACACAAAAAATAGGCCATTGCAAACTGACTGGTAGAGTCTACGCATGGATTTTCACAAAGGGGAAAAGTCTGTTGTGTAGTCATACTATTAGATGTATGCTTACTATAAATAATAGAAATGGGACAAGATCTCATGCTGAGATTGTGCACACACAGACTTTTTTTTTTTTTTTTTTTTTACATTTGGTTTAGTTTTTTTAGTTTACAGCATTATAACATGTCAAAAAGCTCACAGGAGTTGGTTTTATGTAATATAGGACGTTTAAGAAGCTGTAGATCCAAAAATGACACAACAATGACAGCAAAATACTAAATAAGTAAATCAAAATGATGAGGCCAAAATTGTAAACTGAACCACACAATTTATCTATTATAAATTATGTCATGATGTCTCGTCTTGTTCTCATTCTCATGGGCCTGATCTTATATCTGAGATCTTTGTACATTCTGTAATTTTTTTTAAATTGATGTGGGTGCGATTCCATTACTTTATGTCAGAGGTGGGACAAAGTTGTTGTTTTGCATGTCTCAAGTCTTTGAACTCAAGTCCGTGTCAAGTCCCAAGTCAAAGACAGCTAAGTCCATGTCAAGTCTTGAGACAGTGGCCCATAACTCCAAGTCAAGTCCAAGTCGTCTGCTTTGAGCTTCAAGTCATTTCTCAAGTCTTTAAACCAAGGATTTTTGCAATTTAAATGATTTTTACTCTAAATTGTACTTAAAAATCATGGTATATTCATATATGGGTATTTATATAAGAATTGTAGAAATGCAAATTTTTCCTTTTTACATTTCTTGACAAGATCGTAATCTCTTAGAATCATTATGGTCAGAATAGAAATAATTAAGATTTTAAACTGCTTAATATCAGCTATTTTGTCGTGTAGCCTGCACTGAGATGGAAGGATCGTGTTCTATGCAGTTCCCTCTGCTTTACTGTATTGTACTGGATATTACTTTATATTACTGTAGTACATTTGATGACACCATCTCACAGAACTTCAGTTACAACCAAAGTAACAAAAAGAGAAGTGAGAGGGACACGTTCCAGTTTGTTCCTGTAAAATTCAACGCTGCATGTATCAACTGTAAAGAGAAAAATATTTTCTAAAAACATTGTGTTTTAGCAGAAGCATCAAGTCTTCTCAAGTCAAAGGGCTCAAGTCCGAGTCAAGTCCCAAGTCACTGACCTTCAAGTCCAAGTCGACTCCCAAGTCTTAGTCCAAGTCTTAGTCCAAGTCAAGTCTCAAGTCCTAAAATAGTCACTCAAGTCTGACTTGAGTCCAAATCCCACCTCTGGTTTACATACATACCAAAACAACTCTGTACTTACATATGGTATCTTAGCCGCTTTCATGTCATTGTACAAATCTCTGATCTCTGCGTCGTTGGCGTAACCATAGCGACAGAGCTGGAAGCCAAGTGACCAATAGGCGGGCAGCACGGGCCGTCCAATCAGCTGTTAAGAGGAAAGGCAAACAGGGAAGTTAGGGCAGAAAGTTCTTTGGCGGTGAAATGGGCCGGCCTCCACGAAGTGTTTGTTTGATTCCCTTTCCCTTTTTTCAGCGAGTGTGTTTAGATTGGCTAAATGAGAGCGCGCAATGAAGCAAGGAACTCCCAGCTGCTGCAGTCCATCAACGGCAGCCCTTGGCCAGACACAAAATACACACACGTTTTTAGAGCTTGCACCCACACTCGCACAGAGCTATGTGGTATAAAACTAGGCTGAGAGAACTTACCGCAGTATACTCCTGCACCACCATCTCCGGAGTGGGGCCCATAACCATGAAGAAGTCCAGGATGCCTCCCAGTGTTCGGTAGGTTATAGCAGGAGTGGGCTGGAAAGTCACGTCTAGACACACAAAAAGAAATTAGCGTTAGTCATTTCAGATTTATATAAAGTGGGGTGAGTCATGGTTTAAACAGAAAATGGAGCATTTTTATAACATTCATTTTACAAGGAATTGCTAATATGATTCAGATTATCTCCACACTAAAACACCTTTTTGTATAAAACGCTACTGTTGCTACATTTAACACTGCAACCACCCTGTGATTTAGAATCGAGTTTTCTAATGTTTTTCACTTCAGGGTAAATTTTCAAATCTAATAATGAAAAAAATAACACTGTAGTTACTTTAACTGCTGTTTATTCTTGTCCATATACTACATTGTACATAACCACAGTCATAGCCAGGGCCTTCAACAAAAATTTGGGGGCCTAAGGCAAGAAGCCTCACTCGGGCCCCCCTCTAATATCCATCAATAGGGCAGGAGTCTCCAACCTGAAGCTCGGAAGCTACCAGTAGCTCTCCAGCCCCTTCCAAGTAGCTCACCAAGGGATTTTTGAATTATATGTACTGTGGTAAATAACTAAAATTGTATTACAGTATTTTTTCGGACTATAAGGCACACTTTTTTTCAAGGTTTGGGTGGTCCTGCGACTTATACTCCGGTGCGACTTATATATTAAGATTTTCAGTCTGACAGCTAAGAGAGGGCGCTCTAGGCTTGTGTGCCAGTATCTATTACTACTATTACTCCTGTACCACTGTCACTTCACACTCTACTGCGCATGCCTCCTGTAGAAAAAGCCGCTGTCTTGCTTCAAATAGTGAAATATGCAGCCGAAAACAGTAATCGAGCAGCAGAAAGAAAGTTTGGAGTGAGCGAGAAACTTGTGAGGGACTGCCAGAAAGTGGGGATCAAGAACACAGCTTCACGGCAACCGGGAGAGTGCGCCATGCAACTTTCCTGAAGTCATGGAAAGGATCGACAAAGCCTGGACTTCAGTGACAACCAAAACCATCCTGTCGGGATTCAGAAAGGCCGGGATAATTCTAACTGGAACTGATGCTTTGTCTGACGACAGCTACACAGAAAAAGAAGCTACGCTCAGTTAACATCTTGGATCTATGGTTTACCTCCGGAGGTCGTGCAGAAGTGACACCGAGGATGAAGAATTAAGGGATTTCGTGATGTGGAGTGAGATCGTGAGTTTGGTAAACTTATGTTATGCTGTTTATGCTATAATTATCTGAATAACTTAATATGTTACGTTAACATATTAACGCATATTCAGCCTGTTGTTTTCTGTTCTATTGTTATTACAATAAATTGCTTTTCAAGATGAAATGTCCGTTCCTGGTCTCTTATTTATAAAATACATTTCCCCAAAAAGTGCAACTTATAGTCCTGTTAGACTTATGTTTTTTCTTCTTCCTTGCACATTTTTTGGCTGGTGCGACTTATACTCCAGAGTGACTTATAGTCCGGAAAATATGGTAATTGCCATTGGAAATGTATAATTTTGATGCTTAACTATATAAATAAGTGGATAATGGTTTGTGGTTTATAGGCATCTAAGACTTGCCATGGGACTTAAATGTTAAACATTTCTTGTGAACCTTAAAATGAGTAGCTCCCTGGCATTTTTGTTTGGTGCAAGTAGCTACCCGGAGGAAAAACGTCGGAGACCCCTGCAATAGGCAGACTGTGGACCACTAAGACCCTGGGCCCCTGGACAACAAACCCCTTTGCCCCTCCTAGACTTATAACTTTACACTGATGGCACAGGGTTTGATTATATAGCTGTGAAGTCATTACAGTTATTTATTTAGATTTTGTGTGCATGTTTTTATCCTCCTGCTGCCTTTAAACTCTACGTTGCAACTGTAATTTCCCCACTGTGGGACAAATAAAGGATTTTTCTTATCTGTATTGTATTAAATAGGAAATAATATGGATTTAAAAAAATATTTATCATTAAACGAAAACAATATTTGAGGTTGAAAAATGTATGATCCGGATGTGAACAATCGCATAGTAAGTACAGGGCTGTGAACACAGATAGGGTGCAGATAAAATATGAAATTTTAAGAGCACTCAAACCTCAAAGCAGAACAACACCGGACATTCTGACCTGAGCACCTGAGAGAGCGGCAGGAGGTCTCAGTCTTATTTAGAATTTATTACCACCATTTACAGTGTATTTGTTCTCTTTGTTATTATAATTTCATGTGTGACCTACTGTGTCCAAGTAATTTCCCTTGTGGATCAATAAAGCTTGTGTAAGTGTAAGTCTAAGAGTACTCAAGCATGCATGAATCAATCAAAATATAAGTTTGAGTGAGCTAACGATTAGAAAAGATTGTTGCAACATGGTTAAAAGTATAACAGTCGATTTTACACATGTCCCCTCTAGGAAAAACAACAATACAGGTTTTTGTGGAAGACTTTCATTTACGAAAGTGTACATTTTGTGATATATCATTTAAACTTGTTATATAACTTGAACCATTATAAGTGAGGGAAAGACATAAAATATAAGACAGCATAATTTCTCTACATGATTCACTGTTTTTATCTTTCCTGTATTATTATTATTTATATTATTTGTTGACTGTATTAATGTGTTCTGTAAAGCATTTCTGAGTGTCCTGAAAAGCGCTCTATAAATAAAATGTATTATTATGATTATTTATTATAGCTATTAATGCATTTGATGATGTGATGTGTGTGTTTTCTCACCCATGGCGTTACTGTTGAGAAGAAGAACACCGTGAGCGTCAGCTGTGTTCTCCAGGCCCATATAGAAGGGATGCACTCCATAGCAATTCATCTTGTACTGTACAGGGCAAAGGGAGCACAGGTGAACAATGGATGCACTATACATTAATATATAACAGTAGAGTGCGTTTCATGATTTGTACTCATGTTGCCTGTACTTCATTTTGTCACTTCTTTGTTTTTAGAGCAGGCAGGGAGTTTGTCACTGTACATATGAGGAGCACAAAAACTTCATAAAGTTGAACAAATGAAATATAAGACTTCTATATCATAAATCAATGTTTAAACAGATATAACAATAGCATTTTTTCAGGTTTGAGTTTGAACAAAGCACTTCGGAACAACGCAAAAGGCTTATTATTTGAGATAAAAAAAAAAAAAAAATGTTACTTTTTATTTATGCATTCTAATTAGTGTTTTATTTGTAATGTAAGATTTTACTTCTATAATTTGTTCTGCTGAATCAGAAACAAAATTGGTCAACTGTAGTAATTTTTTTTAGGATGCTATAAAATAAACTGGATTCATTTTAGCTATGAGAGAGACTAAAAGAGGTTTATATAGCATCCTATCCCATGACAGTACTCCTAAATGCTATTGATGTGAAGAGCTGGTGAAAGTATTGCGATTTGTGATAGACTGTATGTTTAAAACGTCTGTTCAGAGTGCAGTTATGCTTTACCAATTGAGAGAAGACTGGAATTTATTTTCTAATAAGATAAAACACAAAACAAAACAGGGAATTTTATTATTCGCAGAGGACATTCTCTTACCAAATTAACTGTAATCTTTACGGTTACTATATGATTGCAATATATTATGCTGCCCTAATAGGAAGTAGAGGTGGGACAACAAACAATAATGTCATGTTAAAAGAGATGACGCTTGTGGGACATTTGGTATAATTGTGATAATTGCCATTATATCACCAGAATCCATAACGTTTTCATTTAGATCATTGCTGTTCACTTAAAATTCTATAGCAGTTGTTGAAACCTAAAATATTAATGTATCAGTGTATCTATCTATCTATCTATTTATCCATATCCATAACTTTTTAAAAAATTGTCAGCACCTTTAAGAATTAATCACAATTATTTTGGCCATGATAATCGTGACTAGGGGTGTGCAAAAATATCAAAATATTGATATATTGTATCGTATTAATGTGACGATACAGTACCAATATCGTGGGCTGCTGTATCGATATATATTTGGTATATTTTACAGAATTATTTTGTTACAGAGCTACAGTTTTGTTGCTTGTTTAATGGAAGGAAACTTGTTTATGCAACACATTTGAAATTTTTCACAGTTCTAATGATTAAAATGGGCGTGTTTCATATTCACTTTGCACAAGACGTGGTTTAACGAAGACTTTTAGTATCACAGCCATGATTTTGTCTTTATTTTTTACTGAACCGTATCGAATCGATTTGAAATATATCATATCGAATTCAAAGTGCACGGTATCGAGATATGTATTGTTTCGTGGCCTATGTATCGAGGTATGTATCATATCGGCAACTCCTTAATGAAACCCAGCCCTAATTGTGACACCAAATTTCAACATCGTGTCATGCCTAAAAGGAATTAACTAACAACTATCTGTATGATCACATTTCCACCCTTGCAGAAAACCACAAAAACACTATCTCCTCTCAATCCACCCTCTACTCCACTGGACTTTCAAATCTATCCTTCTTTACCCCTTTTGCATTTCTCCCTCTCCTCCTCTCCTCCCTCATCCCACTGCTCTCGGCTAGGGCCCGTAACATTTGTCTGAACCCTGTGGAGGCACTCCTGACAGCTCAGCAATTAGGGGCCGATAGTGCTGACGCGAGCAGGAAAGCGGCCTTGACACGCATTTCAGAAAACATGATGACACTCAATAACTGCTGTTCATATCAACGGCGCATCAAAGTGACATGGACATGGCGTTTACATCCAGGTTATTTACAAGTCACCTGGGCCAGTCTCCGGAGAGGAGGGTTACATGTGGGATAAGCAAATATGACATATGTGTAAGTGTAATCTAGGCCAGGAGGTGGGGTGTGGAGAATTTGCGGGTGGGAAATTGTGATTGATTATAGTAACAAGATTCTGTCATTTCTAATCGTCATTGATCAGCTTTTTTTTCTTTTTTTTTAACAGGGAGGTCTATAGTCAGTCCACTGTAAGTAAAGGCACTTGTTTTGAGGAGAATTCTGATTTTAGAGAAAAAAAAATAAAATTTTGTTAGATCCTCCAGCCGTAATCTGACCCATTTATATCATGTAATAAAGTTGGGGCAATTTTAAGAAATATGCATACAAAACTACATTTTTGTTTGATTATCTTCAATATTTTAATAATAAACCTTGTTACTGATGTAAATGTTCAGGTACAACAAAGCAAATGGGTTGGAGTTGTATTTAAAAGTGTCCTACATAATGTTATTGGAAACTCTACTAAGTTACAGTGCAGATCTGAACAGGTGACCTCATTCACGGTAATAATGTATATTTTTCAATGCATGAGCAATAAAAACACATGTAACTGAATAAATGCAAAATAGAAAACTTGATGAAAAGCAACAACATTTCCATATAGATCAACAGGTAGAGAAAAGTTACAAAGCACACTTGTAAAATAGAGCAAACACCAAGTTAGTTGTGAATAGTGATCTGGTACTTACGCCCGGTGGCTGGTCCTTGGCGAACATGCCCCAGGTGTGGTAGTAGAGGTTGTGTCTGTAGGTGGGGTGTTCTGTCTCTCCAAAGCCATAGACAAAGTCTGACGACAGCCTGGTGGACACTTGGATGAACAGGTCGGAGAAGGTAAACCCAGGCAGTGACGAGTCCCAGCTAACAACAAAAACATCAGTGTGTTAAATGTAGCTTACACGTTAGTTGAATTTTAGTGGACAGAGTAACATAGATAGTGCTGAAAAGAGAAGTGAAAACTTGTTAAGTAAAAGTACAGTAACATAAAGGAAAATATACTCAATTACAAATACGTACACTTAAAGATCCTATATTAGGCATAATTGACTCTTGTGAGCTTTAAGGATTTTTTTTATGTTGTTACCTTATCAAAAACATACCTGTAGTTGTGTTTTGTTTAATTCACACATGTTTGAGTAAACCTTTATGGAGTTATTTATTGAGTCCATTCTCCAAAGCTCAAAATGCTCTGTTACACCTTGTGATGTCATCAGGTAGTAGTTTTAAAGTAAAATAGCTACCTTTTACCTTTAGTTCAGTAGAGATTGGCAATTCCAAGTCTAAAAATTTTTATAAATGATGATTCTAGTGAAGGTGCGTGGAGTTTAAAAACACAGGGGAGAACTTCCTGTATTACCACATGACATCACAAGGTGGAACAATTTATTTATTTATTTAATGAGACAGGGACAGTGCACAATATACATTAAACTTAACAGGACAGATGCACTGTACCAGGTTGTAGCATCAGTGAAAATTTCCACCTGTAGTCCCCATAATTGATTGATTATATTTAATTGACCTTAGCTATCCGTTATCAGCTATTCTTCCTGGAGACCTATATAGCATGTTTTGGGTTGATGGGGGAAACCAGAGCACCCATCCAGACACGGGGAAAAGCATGCAAACTCCACACAGAAGGGCTGAGGGAACCCAGGGATTGAACCCAGAACCTTCTTGCTGTGAGGCATGAGTACTAGCCACTCAGCTACCATGGCACTGTGTTTTCTGTTTGAGAAAAAAACTTAAATATAAGCCTAAATACTTAAATAAGAGGCTAAATATGCAGGGTTTGTGTGTTAAATGTGTGAATGAAACAAAACACATCTCCAGGTATGTTTTCATAAAGAAACAACATTATAACAAATCAGAAAACAGCATAATATGGGCCCTTTCGTGAATGTGAAGTATGCTTGAAGAAAATGATTGATACCAACTGACTTACTTCAGTCTTCAGTAGCAAAAAATACAAACAATTTTTGTGTGAAAAATGTGCAGAAGGTAAGAGCTTTTTGCATTTGTGGACAGGGAAGATGTCTGTGCTTTTCTCTCAATTGGACGTTACAAAAATTTGATTTTTCGGCTTGTTGTGATGTTATTCGATCAGTCAGATTCAAATTCATCGTTACAGCTTTTCCCAACTGTTTTCAGTGAGAGCCGCTCCAGATGGATAAATACATAAAAGTATACACATCAGTCTAAGAGGCCGTGGTGAGACAGATGTGAATTGGGAATATGGGGACGCCTACTATTTTAAATGTCACTGATTGGAAGTACATGATGAGGATTATCCCCAATTACAAAAAAAGTTTAAAAAAGCTACCTACTTTGCTATCAAGGTCAAATAAAAAACTGCTTATTTTCAAGCTGTGTCCTGTTTTGCAAAATGAACTGTGGCAGACTGGCAGTTCAAAACAAACATTGGCTTGACTACAGAATACTGCTAGCTTGGCTTTAAACACATTCTTTTAAAGAGACTTGGTGACAGTTGCTCTTTTATGTGACAATATTGTGAGTGCTGAACAAGAGGAAGCTACCGTAGGCTTTCTCTCTTTTCCTGGGCATATCTGATGAGGTACACCCAGCGCCACGGGGCTGAGTCAGCATTTCAGCTTTAATCCCCAAAGCCTCCTGCTCTTAAAATAAAAAAGTCAAACAGAGCCTTGTCTACTGTTTTTATTTCTTGTTAACAACAGGAACTACGGGGTCTTAAAATAAACTCACTTAGGGGAAGAAACTTTTTATGCAATTAGCCCAAAAATACTCATGATGGTATAGTGAGAATTTGTAATAATCGGGTTATGTAATGGTGTTCAAGATGCGCTATGGGTTTATAGGGTTTTATATTTGGTGAGGAAATATTATGAAAAAGGTCTTTATTTAGTGTTGGAAAACTTACCTCTGTGCATGTCAAAAATAGTCAGCGACATTGTTATATTTTGATTTAGAAGGAAACAAAAGAAAGGGTTCACCATCTGGTTGTCTCCATTGTTGTTAGTGCTTTTTCTGGAATGTTTCACTGTATATCATTTCACTTATCCATTACCTTACAGATCAGATCAGTGGAGAGGCAACCATGCTCACTTAAAATACATGTTTTTCAAGGCATTGTTTAAGCAACAAAACCCCTGTAATTGAATGAATGCTTAATGCCAGACTATGGAACATTCCAGCAAACCAAGTAAGAAACAGAAACTCTCCACTAGAAAAATTACAGTTAAACTACTTCCTTTTACTTTAATTTTAAAAGCTAATATTTTGAATGTACTGGAATGGAAATGTATTGATTCTGTTTTAAGAAAAATAAATAAATAAAATAAAATAATCACATAGAAAAGGTGATTTATTTCATTTCATTTTAACTAATTGATGCATACATCCAGGGAATAAAACATTTTCAACGGGTTCAACTAAACCAACTAGGTAGCTTCATCTGGGCTTGTACTGGTGACTGTGACTCCCTCAGGATGTAGAGGTGAGTGGTGACGAAAAAAAAAGACCCTTCGAAGAGAGTCATGCCCCTGGTGCCCTGAAGAAGCTACCTTGTTGGTAGCAAAACAACAACTTCAAAACCAAAAGTTTAGTTTGATTACATTTAATTTGAAGTGCAAGTCTTGGTGTCATCGAAACCACATTTAGTTTTGCAATTATATTAATCGACTAAAAAAACACTAGTAGGTACTCACATGGTGGTTCCTGTGCTCTTCCTAATAACTCGAATGCCAAATGGATTATTGATGAGTTCAACCCTGTACATCCTCTTGCTCTCATCAGTCTCAGGTGTAGCTGGTACATTTAGTGGTACAGGGACTTCATAGCGTTTTGTAGTTGGATCCCAAATCTAAAAAAAATACAAACAAAATGAAATATTAATACCATACACATAAATGATATATTCATGATAAGGAATGCATTTTACAATACCTTAAAGCGCAACATGTCACTTGAGAGATAGAAGATTTCGACTCGTAGGTTGTTGATGTCGGGTGAGCCTGCGCGGTTCGTGCTTCTGTGCTTTGTATTCCTACTGATGTCCAGAGTCATACCTGATTCTGTCTGAGTAAAGCTGGTGTATGTGTATCCATAGTCATTAGGATAGAAGCACCATGGGACCTTGTCAAGATTGCTTGGCTAAAGAAAAGAAAACAAAACAAAAAACAACTTATATTTATGTGACAAAAGTAAATTTCTACATTACATCACTATTGCTGCTAAGCATAGTTCACCAATATATTTATGTATTTATTTGTTTTATTAAGGAAGGTTTGTGATATAGTAAATGATGTTCTTTTGTATTATTTGAGAGACTATAGTTTTGTGTGTGTACTATAATCACATATACAGGAATTTCTTTCAAATAAAGGTGCACTATGTAACTTTTCTGCTGTAGGCTCAGCCACATGCTTGTCTCTATATAGATGTTTTGCCTGAAATGCTCCAACAGTATGGCATTAAACTCTTTTACGCCCTTGGAAAGCATGCAACACCAACGTAAGAATGTATCAAGGCACATTGTTACTTTCAAGGTACATTTGAGCAACAAAGACACCAGTAAATGAATAAATGCAAGGTAGACGAGTTTAATGATAGATGAGTTTAATGCCATACTGAGGAACATTCCAGGCAAAGCAGTGGCAGAACTCACCAGAAAAGTTCCATAGTGTAAGATTAAAGACAAAACCAAAATTCCCCAGCAGCACATGAATCCACGTCAACATAATAACTATTCATTTCCTCACCTCCCAGATGCAGCCTCTGGCCTGGCACTTAGCCTGATCTGCGTTCTCTTCAGGATGGCAGTCGAAGCGCTCGAACTCGGCTACTGGCTGGTTCCACTCGACAGTGTAGGACTCGCCCAGTGTTAGGCCCAGGCGGCGCAGGAACAAAACCTAAAAAAGTAAAACCACACGGGAATGCTTAGGATTATTTCAAAATCTGTAAGTAGTATCTTTTGTATGTGTTTTGTTTTTCTTTTGCAGTGACACTGAAAGTTTTTGAATATCTTGTGCCATTTGAATGGTCAAAAAAAGGCCAATGGAAAAAGTAACATTACAAAAGAATATTATTTTTTCTTAAAAAGTACAGCACAAATTGCATTGCACTTGAAGAAAGGGTGGCAGGCTTGTATCGCCACACAAACCTGACACACATTTGGTCCTGCTTGTTTCCATGGAAATTTGTTGCTTTGGCTATAATCTTGCACATTTTCTTAAATTTTACACGTATCTATTTTTTTCAATTCCATTAGGTCACTCAGGTGATGATGATAGTGTAGTTTTCACTCTTAGATAACCTTTGCATTTATGGATTTTAGTCTTGTTTTGTTTCATTCTTGCAAGTTTAAGTCATCTCATTTGTACACTACTACACTATTACAAGAACAATATTACAAAATGTTTTATGACACATACACTTCAATTTTTATAATGTGTCTCCTTTAGTTTTCTGAAATGACAAAATGGCTGATTTGGATATCGCCACCACATCTTTGCCACTTCCCATCATGCCTGGGAGCATATTCGAGCCTGTTTGAGATTCAGTGGCTGTTCTTCTCTTGCATGTGCCATCAATTAGGACACAGCTGTTAATTTCCCTTGCTGTTTCAACAAGCTCTGGTGGGAATTATGAGTCACTCTTCCTCTCCTTCTGAGGGAGCCCCATTTACTCCAGTCACTACATTCACCATCTGAGTAATCTAGGCCTGCACGGATCATCTTCTGTGCCCAATCTGCTCATGTGCCAATTCAGACTGCAATTATCCAGCAATTCGGTTGAATTACAAAGCAAAAGCCACATGATTTTGATTTCAAATACGAGTTAAATGGAATATAGCAGGTGCCGTATTGTTTATTATTTATGCCAGTGGTTCTCATACCTTTTTTCACTTGCAACCCCTGCAGCTACTGGGATTTTTAACTTCCAAATGCAAAGAAATGGGTTACTAAACACAATGAAGAAGTCTGCTATTAAAATGTTTAAAGACGGGGTATTTTACTTCTATGTGGTATTTAAATTATGTTTAGGAATGCTGGAAAAGGTAATATTGCATGTCCATATGTGCAGCTCCTTAACTCTAAACTCATTGCCAGTAGGGATATAACAATAACTGAAATATCGTGATATAGTATCATTAAAGTTCTCACAATAATATCATGGACCATCACAATATATCAAATTACAAGTCTCTTTGCTGAAATGAAGAGTGATGGTGCAGCAATAGCTAAAAAATAAAAGACAGAGGGAACTATGTAGACTATGATCTGTTGCTCCATTTCAGTATAGACTACAAGAAGAAATAACAGTTCTAAGCACTTTTAAGTCTTAGTTCTTTGGATTAAGTCTCATCAAGGCATTGAGGAAAAAGTAGCATATTCACAGTTTTGTTTGTAAGCTTCCATAAAATATCGCAATAAATATTGTACCGTGAGATATATATGATGAAAATATTGTACCGAGATTTGGATATTGTTACATCTATAATCATGAGCCTCCCCACCATATCGTGAGCTTTCCCACAATATCGCAATAAATATCATACTGTGAGGTTCATACTGTGACGATATTGTATTGTAAGACTTGGATATCGTTACACCCCTAATTGCCAGGCTTGGAAGTAGCTCACCAGACCAGCCAGAACCACACGCTTTACAAAGATGTATGGATTTGGAACTGTATCCTAACAAATCCAGTTTCAGTTAAGTATGATTGATAGGCAGAGTAACCAATCAGGGAAATGCATGGTGTGTTCGTGACAAAATAAAACAAGGAGAAATTTGGAAATAACAAAAGGAAAAATAACACAGAAGACTAAGAATCAAGAAGCAAATCACTAAACTTATTTATATAATTTTTGAGAGAAGATGTCTTCAGAGACACGGAATATAAATTAGCGGCTGTGACTGGACCATTTCCAAGTTTCCTACTGGATTCAAAGAGAATGTCGAAGGGATCAGGCAAGGAACTAGCATGACACTGTTCGTATGTGGCTGGATTATTTGTTTAAAAACCCACGCACTGCTCAAACTACAAAACATCCTTGTTTACAACGAAGCACAAGCCCTTGCAAAACTTGAGCTAACTCTGTCGAGAATTGCCGTTTTGTTGCACCTGTTTATTGACCTAAATGCGTTTTGTCGGCTGGCCGCTCCTCTCAAGGTCCGGTTGGCCCAAGCGTGCAGAGACCGATGGACGTGACAAATCAGTTTAGACTTAACAGCGCAGTTACCCTTCACCCTGAGGAAATGATTACAACTGAGAATCATTTGATAAAACCAGGCCGGGACCTTGAGTGCTGACATATAAACAATCACATTCCAGCATGCGTGGCTACATATGAGGGTCCGTGTGCAAACTGTAGCAGCAATAAAGATGATGGCAGTACCGTTTAAACTGACCTACTAGTCATTTTACACACATGATGTTAACTGTTAGCATTTCTTATGCTTTGCGTCTCACCTTGGACCGGAGAGTAATAGTTTTTTGCTGGTTTTATTGAAATAAATGGAACAAAGGTAGTCGCGCTCAAAAGCCATACACACAGCTTCTGCCTAGCCAGGTACCCACAAGGTTTTTTCTCATAAAATGAATTTATGGGAGCGTTTGGGAGTTTCTTTATATGGCGTATAATAATGATGTGATAAAAGAGGAAAAGCTGCTAAAGGAACAAAGCGGTCATTACGGGGCATTGTGTCTCCATAGTCGCCATTTTGTGTCAGATAAAATGTTACTAAGAAATCAATGTTTTTTTATCCATGTATGTTTACAGGTGGAACTGCTGGACTTGGCAGGGTTTAGGATTTTCACATTAGGGATAGGTATTAAGGTTTAGTTGCACTGTATTGTCCTCATGGGGAAATCTGTTTAGCATAGGTAATTGAAAGACTTAGAATCAGAATTGGTCCTGGTTTGGTCCCATTTAGTCCAGATGGGTTGATTCTCTTCTGTACTTGTTTAGTTCTGGTCTAGGCCTTGTTTAGTCCCAGAATTATATGTGTAGTCTTAAGGTAGCCTAAGAACTTTCTTCATTTTAAACCCAAATTTCAGATAAGAGAAGCTTAAAGGGCCTGAATCTGATTAGTTTCATGCAATTAAGTAATATTTTGCCCCAGTACAAGCATCTCTTAGGGTGAAAATAAGACCAATATCTGCTGTCTGCTTATAATTATAGAGTGTTCTATTTTATTTCAACAGTAAGTGCCCAGATAGCATGCTATTTATTGTCAGCTTTATTGTAAATTCTGCTCTGGCCCATGAATGTTATGAAAAGTGCTAATAAACAGGTAATAATTAGGATGCTCAGAATGCATTAGCAAAATTTGGACCACTGCAAACAGTTTAAAGTTAACTAGTTTTTCAGGTACAGCACCTTTAATCGTCAAATGTTAGGTTAGATTAAGTAGATGATCTCAGAATCCAACTAAATGAGAGCCTGTTATCTAGAAGCATCTTAAAATAATCAAACAAAAAGATAATAATTGCATGCTTACCTTCTTGGTTTTGTCATGCTGGATGTTGGCAGAGGGCACCTGAGTGACCTCACTAGTCTTAGTATTTACGACAGTGACGCTCGATGGAGTCAGTGGTACACCCAGGATGGTTATGTCATCGAATTTCAGGTTGTTTGGGTCTGTGTAGCCAACATGGGTGGCTTGAAGTGTGAGAATTCTCTACAAAAGAAAGGCAAATTTTAAGTTCTGTAGTGGTTTTACTCCTATGAAAACAAATACATTTTATTCACACAACAAAAATCAAGTTTTTGGGTTATCTGATCATTTTATCTGAAGTTTTCTGGTAAATGTACCCAGTGTTGACTTATTAAGAGTTGGGGAAACCCTAGCTTAGAATGTAAATAGGGTAGCATCTCAATAAGCAATCGGTAATTAAAAAGCTGTAGATGAGTGTGACAGCAATTATGAACTGCAAATAGCTGGTACAAGTGTATACTGTTGTATAATATTTTTCATGTGGAGTGAGTTTTTTTTGTATTTATTTTTTTTGAGTAATGTCTTTGCCGTTAGTGTTTTATTAATTATCTTGAACTATATATAATATAACTGTAAACTTCACTTTGTCTTAAGTACTGTATTATAAACACAATTATTCCTCAAATAGTAAATATCTAATCATGTCTTCTATTTTAAATTCTATATTACTAATCTATGCCTTGTCTTGTTACATCTGAGAGATAAATAGGTCCTTTATAGACTTGGATGGAGATTCAAGTGCCACTAAAATGACTGAACATTGCCCACTAAACTCCAATACAAATATTCAAAGTCATCGTGGCCTTACAGAGGTGAAGCCAGGGCATCCTTTGTAATTACAAAATCTACAGGAGTTCCAGCTCCGGGCTGCATTAAACATGTGAGCAGCTCTCTGGCTACTAGATCCAAAAAAGCTCCTGCAGAGGACCATGGATCAATCATGATGGCTGTTCCGGGCATAGGGGAAGTTTTTGCTCCCGAGTGCTTTCAACACTGGGTTAAAGTCCAGATCAGAGGAGTACCGCAGGGGGGAAAGACTGTATGAAAACTTACATAGAGAACTGAAAACTGGTAGTGGATGTATTTTCCTGTTTCCACCGTTGCTGCAATGAGATAAGCAAAAACAAAAAGCTAGTACACAGTCCCACAATATAACTCCATTGACTTTCGCTTGCTAATGTGCCTGTGCTCGCAGTGTACAAGTGTACAAGTACAGGTGTGTGGCAGTTCACCTCCGTGTGCTTTACACTGTTAGACTCTACTAAGTATATTGGTATATAGCTATAACTAGCCCGCTGGCTGTCATGTTTCAAGTCACTTTCTATTGAAAAATCGTCAAAACACACTGATACTCTACATGAACTTGGTGTTTTAATTTTCCTATTTCTTTATCTTAAACTAAAGCTATAACGGACAAATCATGTGCCTTGTTTCCCCGACGTTGCTCACTCTACCATTAGCAACTGGGTCGATTGACTTGATTAGCTTCATTTGGCTGCAGCCAAACACTAAGGGTGACGTCACACGCTCTCAGTCCACGTCTATATACAGTCTATGGTACTATGTGAAAAAAAGAACCACTCTATAAATGGTAATTAGAAACTAAATGATTGAAACTGACAACAAAATAAGTAAGACAGTATGCAAACCAGAGAAAGTCACCGCAAATAAGTGCTACTAAATTAATGAAATCCCTCCTTAGCCTGTGCTTACCTGTGTGCTTCACGTGCAGGGAAAATTATACAAGGCTAACAACAACAACAACACTCGGTTACACAAGCAGGATCACAACTGACTCACAAGATACTTGGTGCTAAACAACACAAGAGCTTAAAAGAATCTAGCTAATGAGTGATTTGAACAAGATGGAGTGGATTTGTGAGCACTGGGGAAAAGGAGAAAACGTGAGAGGGGAGGCAGAGTACCGCGCGTGTCTCCGTCGTCCCAGAATAGCTCCCCTGTGGCCTGGCTGTTGTCGTCGAGAGCCACGATCAGGCCCATGGGGTTGGTGCGACTGTGAGGAAGCACACACACACAGATTCACATGTGAGACACGTGTGAACAGCTCACTCACATTCTACTATTGTCTGGAAATACGGAAAAATATCAAGATGGCTGAAGAGTTTGGTGAAATCCAGTTTCATTTTAAAATCATTTTTATTACCAATAATTTACAAAATTACAAAAGTGTTCCATTAATATTAGTTTTCACAGATTTTTTATTTTTTTTGTAGATCTAGAGGCATCATGGCAAGAAGGGTGACAGTAGTTTTTAATCACCATTTTCAACTGACATTTCCCACCTTCAAAAAGTTAAACTCAAACAAATTAATACAAAAGATATAATTATCACCTGTCATCCATTTAAAGGGCAAAAATTTATAAAAACATGCATGAAAAAAACCACATGTTTTTACTTGATGAACTGAAATAACTTGACTTTAGTAAAGAAAAAAAAAGAGTTGTGTTTTTAGGCACTTCACCTGCATTGCCATGTGTGAGTGTGGTGTGTGTGCGTGAGTGTTGGTGGTGGTTGAAGGGACAGGTGGCTGGATTTACAGCCTCCATCAGTCTGCCTCAGGGCATCTGTGGCTACAATGGTAGCTTACCCCCACTGACTGTGTGGTGAATGAATAATGCTGTGTAAAAGGGTCTTTGTGTGTCCAAAAAGCGCTATGTAAATCAAATTCATTATTATCATAACTCAGTACCTGTATGTAGTGGTGACTGCTGGCTGTTGTGTGGGAAGAATGGCTCCTCCTCTGATGTGCAAGCCCATTTTGTCTCCAGGGATGTACATGTCAACAAACTGCCTGCGAGGTGTAATTCTCTCCATCTGAAAAACGCAGCATGTACTGAAGAACGCAAACATATTTATTTATATATATAAATATATAAAGAAGATCATGTAGTATTTTTGGTGTTAATATGATGCAATAGTGTGGTTATGTTGAGCAGAGCAGGTCGTGAGCTGGCAGACTGCGTGGGTGCAGTGGAGAGCACTTGCTATTTCGGTCCATGTAGGTGCAGGTGTCCCGGGTGCAAAGGGGTCTGCCTGAAGTGGACTCTGATTAGTAAACATGAGCAGGCTTTGATAGAGTGTTCTCTGCAGTATGATCAGAAGAGTTAGTCATCCACACTTTTCAGCAATATAGTTATTTCTGCTTCAGTAGCCCTCTGATGTGAAATATTAACATTTGCGGATTTACAGACCACGATTTAGCCAGATTATACAGTATTTGAGGTTTTGAGATTTGTACTTTATTGTCCCCATTTGTAAAATCTGTCCTTCGCATTTGACCCATCAGTCAATCAGAAGAATATAACAATGATGCAGCTCCCAAGGACCCATTTCCATATCTTGAGTCAAAACCTTTGTAAGGAGTACCTAGGTAGAGTATAAAGCTACGATTTTGGGTTGCACATCCATAGCTAACAATGAATATACCTGTGTAACTTGAATGTGCATAGGTATAAAATACAACTCATTAGACATAGTATTTATGATGGAACTGTTATGTTAAAATCTCAAAACAGTACATTTAAAGATGCACATGTATGTAACTTTCACTGCTGTGTCTTAAATGCTCCACAGTATGGTATTAAACGTATCTATCTCCATGGAAACAACAAAGTGACCCCCACAGCAAAGCAGTAACATCTCCATGTCAATAAACATGTGACGGAAAAGTTATTGAGTCCACATTTAAGCATTATATTGGACATTTTCTAAAATAAATTCTAACAATATCTTCTACAGTTTTCTTCTGTAGATACCCAAGAAATTACTATTATTTCTCAGTATCCTGTTGATTTGTATAACTTAAATTGCATATGACAGGTTTTCATGTTTTTCCAAATTATTAGTTGGCATGGTGGGATAGTACCTGTGGGGGGGGAAAAAAATCAAAAGAAAAGTACAAAAATACAGGAACCAGCATTGAATCCTAAAATAGATACCTCTACCATGTCATCAACATTGAAAATTCCATCCAAAATGCAGGGATAATTTTTCTGCCAGTTTAAATCATCAGTTCACAAAATAAAGGTTTTGCCATTTATTTGTATTGGTTTAATCATAACTACTGTGCAATTTAGACATGTTTTGACCCTGATTTTCATAATGGTTACTAGGTTACAGTAAATATGTCACATTTGCTGCCTGTGTTCAATCAGGAAGTAAAATTATAAGGGGATTATATGATTTTTTTTTTTTTGTACAGGCTTCAATATAATTATGTTTTAGTGAAATTAGTAGTCTAACCTCTCATACACACTTTAAGAATCTGTAAATGAATAGTCAACTAATCCTAAATTTAACTTCACTTCCTTCTTTTTTGCAATAACCCTATGTATTCACGTCATAAATCTTCTCATTTTCACTGACAAAGCTCTTTTGAATATAAACGTAATCGTCTGCGCAAACTCCAGTTAGCTCTACCTACGCTTGTCTCTCTCCCCTATTCTCACGCAATAGTACAGCCAATCTTCAGTCCTTCTCTCTCCCTCCATCTCAGTCATTTCTCCGAGGGGCCTTAGATGTAGCTCAGTTAATTTCTTCTCTCGTGGGCACCCAATCCTCAGACCAGGCTAAAACAATTTCAAACTCCCTTTTCTCCATCTCACCTCGCTCTCCTCCTGCCCGGTTACTTCTCCGAGCTCGGCTATTCTCTCCAGTGGTGCTCTAATTCTTCGCTTTCAATCTCACAGAGGTAGCGTGTGTGTGTGTCTATGCAGTACAGTAGTGGACTATGGACATGTGTGCAGAGTTAGTGGAGCGTCTATAAGCAATTTCAGATCTTATCAGCGTTCATTGTCTGCCTTAAGGAGCTTCTTTTTCATCCCTGCTGGCCAATCCCGTGGACTTCCTACGCTCTAAAAAAAGTCATTCTACGTCTCCACTTCCTTGATCCACCTGCCCTGCAATCTATTGTGTATTTAATGCTTCTATTTTTCTCCAGATCAAGACTATTTTCATCGCTCCTGGTTTTGTTACTTTCTATCTTGGTATGGATGACCAATTTGTGAAAAATGCTATTTTTTGTCACATTTTTATATAACGCTTTTCCACCTTCAAGGCACCGTGAACTCACCGTGGATTCAAAACCCACCAATCATCAGATCTGTGGACAAACACTCGAGCTACTATCACCCCCATTGCGGTTAGATTTGCAACACAACCCTGCCTCAAGTCCTTTTTCTGTTGAGAATGCACACCTGGAAATGTTTTTGCTTGACCTGTAATGCTCCACACCCGGGGAGTTGATACAGTTAGACCCTCTTCTTCTAAATTCATATTAGAGGGGGGCCCATGTGACACTTCTTGCTCCAGGCCCCAAAATGTCTGTTGATGGGCCTGCTCCACATTATGGCATTTTCCGTGAAGAGGCAAGTGACACCCCTAGTTACAGATCAGATCAGTGGAGAGGCAAACTCGCTCCAGATTGCTGATTGCCCATAAGTTTAAACAGATATATAGGCCAATTTTTTCACTAAAATAATCTAATCTCAATGTAGTACAACCTGATGACCTTGTTCTACTACAAACTGGATTAGAGGGTTGTGTAGTCACATTCTTGCAGTACCCTCTTTGGAATAAAGTGTTCAAATAAAGCTGTATACATATATTCTTAATGCATATTTAGCAGCCAGTTGGGTCAAGCAAAATTTCGACCTCTGCTGGAGATTTAAGGCTGAGCCAAGACACACAAAAGTGCAAATATCTGCCTAAGTATGCATTTATCAAGGTATTTTCTTTGCAGTTATAATTTTGGAATAGGTTTAAAGGCATACTGAGGAATATTCCAGGAAGCACAATGACATTTCCATGGAGATAGGCAGGTGGTACCCCTCATCAAAAAAGTTACATACATTTAACCTTCTGCACTCACACAATAGCTCACCATTCTTTCAACACCTGTCACACCCTCACGCCATCTCCTCTGTTTTCATTCTTTTCCGCTTTTCCATGGTCACTTTGCTCACATCAGTAGCCAGCGCCGTCCTTCACTCCACGCATTTGTTCTCCTACATAATCGCAGGGGACCAACCAGGACAAGGGGCCCGGCGGCAAGACAGCCAATCTAATCGCTCATCTGATCAGCAGCCGCTTTACATTGCCACTGTGACGCCCAAATAAGGTCCCTGGAGGAAGTCGCCACTCGTTTTATCTCCGCGTTAGTGAGATAGTCGCTGTTCCCTTTTCTCTCTCTCTGTCCTCCCCTGTCCCTCCGTTCACTCGGGCTTTGTACTCAGTCTAGCCTGTGTCTTATCTTAAACAAAAAACTTCAGGCGAAAGCTTTTATGCGATACGTGTTGGCTGTGTGTGTGCTAACGCCCCTGATGTAATATGGTCCTGATACAATCTGTAATGGTGACTGGGAGAAATAAAACATCTAGTCTTACAATCAATTAGGTTCATATTCATGTTACGTGTAATGGATGCACAGTGGTTGCCAAACTGTGGTCTCAGTGACAGTAAGTAAGTCTATACTGTAATTTACATTAAATTTAGCTATAATTTGTACTAATACTATTTATTATTAATTCATAAATTCTTAAAATCTCTTAAAGGAACTGTATGTAAGGTCTTGATTTAAAATGTCATAATCATGACCTCTACGCCTGTGTTCTAAGGTACGAAGTAAACTTGTTCAAACCAAATATAGCTTTCACTGATAACTGATACAAAAACATTGGACATGATGTCACATAAATCTATCTTATTTAATTTGGTGTTTTGGTTCTTGTTTCTGTGTAAACTCTGCATACCTGACTGGGCGACAGGTGCGTTGGAGGAGAGGCACTTAGCTGTTTTTAAAGAAAACTCCCACACACTGTCTCACTCTTGATTTTTCTTTTATTGGTACAACGTTTCGGTCCCTCAGACCTTCTTCAGGTATGAGAACAGCCCCTTCCACTCCCCTTATATAAGTAAAGGGACTGCCCCCTCAAGAGTAAAGATCCAATCACAGCAGTGAAAAATAATATATTTACAGTTAGACCCCAATAAAGCTATACCCCAATCTCTTGTGAATTAAAACACCTGGAAAATTATTAGAAAAAAAATATATAAAGTTAATTATCAACATTAAAAAGTGACTTACTTTTAACTTATTCTTGAGGGGGCAGTCCCTTTACTTATATAAGGGGAGCAGAAGGCGCTGTCCTCATACCTGAAGAAGGTCTGAGGGACTGAAAACATCATACTAAAAAATCAAGAATGCCACAGTGTGCGGGAGTTTTCCTTAAAAACAGTATTTTGTTTCTAAAAATGATCAGAAAGCAGAAAGAATGAGCCTTTCATTTGGATTCTCAGTTTCAATGCTGAAATCACTTGGTTTAAACCTAAAACCTAAAAACATGAATAGTCACTACCTAAACCCCAGCACCGGCAGGTAAACATGAATCAGAGCTAGTGCAGACTCTGCAGCTCAGTGAGTGAATTCTAGAGGTTCTGAGCTTTCACATGAGGCATGGCCTGTCTATATCCTGAGAAATACTTGTATGTGTCTTATATCTGCAAGTTTAAAACAGTAAGACGGCATGCAGTTCCTTTAAAGGTGTACTGTGTAACTTTTCAGAGGATAGCTGCTTGTTATTGCTTTGCCTAGAATATATTTACAGTATGGTAATAAACAGGTAGCACTATTAGGTAACAGGTAAGATCTGTAGAGAGGAGACAGGAGGCTGTTCAAAAATAACAACACCCCTACTGAAATAAATTCAATAGATTTGTTTATTGCCAAACTGGAATATTCTAGGCAAAGGAAAAAAGTGGCTTACCCTCCATTAGAAATGCACAGTGCACCGTTACAATCCCTTACTGCTTAGACTCAGCCATAGAAAGAAAAAGGGTTTACGAATATACTGAACACTGTATATACAGAGTTATTTGACCTTGCATGAAATCACTCTCAATTCTGCGTGAAACACTACAAAAACATTGTACTGGCTTCTTTGTTTTTTTATTTCCCAATGCCACTTCTGGACTTCCTGTACAAAAGAGCCTTATTCATATAGCTGAGAGTGCTTCAGATGTCTAGCAGAGAGTGCATCCACAGATACAATATCAGAAACATCCCTTTTGTGTAGCCGGATGTCCTTGATGCTTTATGTAAAAGCACTGGCTCTCAGCACAGATGACTAAGATCAAATGATTTTATGCACATTTTATCATGCATATACAATTCACTTACCAAAGACAACCCTGTTATTTTTTCAGTATACGGTTAAAACACACACACTGATAGAAAAAAAAATAAAAAATCTTTCCTAAATAGCTGTTGAATGTTCTTGTGTTGGAAATTACAACATAAGCATTTTTAAATCAATTTGGTATCAAAATATGTGACAAACTGTCAATGTAATCCCTCATTTCTTCAGTATTGGTTCATGGTAGAAAAGGTTTTGTGACATTTCAACATCTGGAAGTAAATTTTTAATATGAAGGTACTGTTCTGAAAAGCTGAAGAGGGGAGGGAGCTAGATTAGTCCTGCACTAAGGGAGGAGTTATCCAACATCATCAGTTGAGTTGTATTATTTTGCATGGGTCTGCTGAACTTGACAGCAAATAAGTTCTATACACAGTACAAAGCTGTTTTAAAGCCTCCCGGAGAGAGAAGCCTTCCAAGAACATTTTAAACAAACCAATCAACTTCATAACATATTTTAGCTGAGACATTTTTCTCAAATTTACCAAATGATTTGAAATGAATGGGATTCCCACTTAATTAATGATTTGATAGCATTTAGAGTCTAAAGTGGGTGGAATGGAAAAAGGTCAGAACCTTGAACATATTTTTTGTTTACAACAACCGGAGACCACAAAGCCAGTGAATTGATGATCAACCCATACAAGGCTAGAAAGTAAACAAGACCAGGGTAGGTTTCAGGGTAAAACTCCTCCCTTTGAGCAGGACTGATCTAGAAAGGGACTTCCAAATGTCAGCTGAAAAATACTGATTAAAAAAAAAACCTAAACATAGATAGCAACCTTTAAAACCTTTTCAACTATGTTATATTAGTATAAAGACAGCATGGCGGCTAAGTGTCATGAAGCTATTATGGGTAACTATGGTAATTACTCATTAAAACATGACACATCCAATACCAAGAACATGGGGAGTATTTTCTTGATAATACAGGAAATGCATTATTCCAGTTTCCATGCTATTTCCATTTTATTATCATGATCTAACTGTGCTGTAAGGTGCGACCTGATTCTATCAAAGAAAATACTGAAAACTAGAAATACATTATAACATTGCCTTAACAGGTCTCCGATAAAAATGTATGTGTTAGATGCTCTGAAGTCTCCCTGAAGCTAATTAAAATCCAACTTTTAAACCATTTCCAAACATAATCTACAGTAAAAATGAATGAGCATCTTTCATTAGCAACCAACCATTGCTACCGACTTTCGAGTTCCATTTTCTTACAAGACCTAACAAATGTAAAACTCCGATCACAATAAGCAGATGATAATGACGTCTCCTGAGGCCCATAGATTATAAATGGATGTAGGTTCTTTGGTTTACTTACCGTATCATAATCGTACCACACTGCATCTGGGACGTATGCCCGAATTGTATCTGTCCCCTGCAGAAAACAAGAACAAAGATGTGATTTTACAGTCATCGTCTCACTGATCTGAATGTTTTGAATGTTAAATACGTGATTATGTGCCTTTTATTTGTGGTGTCGACATCAAACGCAGAGTAAAAGCATGTCTGTGTTTGATTTGTGTTTTCCAGGCAAGAACATGAGTCTTTATAAAGCGCCGCTGCTGACATAAACAAGGCTACAAGGCACTTACAAAAGGTTTAGTGGGGGGATAAAACCTGATTCATCTAATTCAATATTAGTAGAGCCAGAAAGAGCATAAAGAGTATGTGATATTGCAATGTATTATAATCTACACTACCACTGAACATTTTGGACACATCATTTCAATCAAATATTCAAAGTTTAGCACTTTATAAACACTTTAAATAAATACAAAAGATGTTAAATCTATGAAGCATGATGTTTGGCATCATGTAACAAAGAAAAAAAAAAGTTACAGTAGGGGTGTCAAATTATCGCGTTAATTGCGATTAATTAATTACAGTCATATTTAGCGCATTATGTTTTTTAATCGCGTTAATCTCATTTTTAATCTCTAACTTTACTGTTTCTGTACGCGAGTGGCCTTATTATAAAATCTGTTTTTATGTGTTGTTGGGACAATAACACATCGCTCCCGCAAACAATTGTAATTTTCATTTTCATTCTCGCCGCATCTGCGATAAACCTGCACACGTCTGATCTCTGAAAACATCACGACACAAACACAGAACAGACTCACCTTCACCTTCAACACTCTGTCACAGAAAGAACACTCATATTTCACTGAGTCATGTCCTTCAGTCCCACAGAAGCTGAACCGCATCAGCGACACAAGAGCATTTTTTATTTATTTTTTCTTGCTTAGTTTATGCAAATTAGCCATGCGGTTTTTAAGTTTCGTTTCTGTGAGACTTGCGCAAATCAGCATTAAACACATTATAATTTCAAACACGCTGATGTGGCTCTAGAGTGTTCATGGTTTATATGTAATAATAATAATGTAATAATGAATTTAAATGAAAATACCTCAAGTTGAAGGCTTTTCTCAGCAATTTTTAGGTGAGATTAAAAAGAGATTAATTAGATTAATTAATTACAGAATTTTTTTAATCGCCTGACAGCACTAAGTTACAGTTACAAAATAATTTTTTTATATTTTATATCGCAGTGCCTCAGAGTAGCCACCCTTTACTTTGTTGATAGGGCTGCAAACCCTGGGCCTTCTCTCAATGAGCTTCATGATGAAGTTACCTGAAATGGTTTTCACAGCTGTGTTTCAAGTTTTGAGTCATTTTGATTTTTTTTTTTTTTTTTTTGAAACATTCCATGTGTTAATTTGTAGTTTGTAGGGATGTAACAATAACTGAAATATTGTGATATCGTATCGTCAAAGTTCTCAAAATAATATTGTGGACCATCACAATAAATCAAATCAGTTTCTTTGCTTAAGTTAAGAGTTATGGTGCAGCAATAGCTAAAAAAAGACAAAGGGAACTACACAGACCATGATCCTTTGCTCCATTTCAGTGTAGACTACAAGAAATATCAGTTCTAAGCACTTTTAAGTCTTAGTTCTTTGGATTAAGTCTTGTCAAGCCATTTTAAGAGGAAAAGTAGCATATTACCAGTTTTGTCCACAAAATATTGTGAAATGTATATTGTGAAAATATTGTGAAAACCAAGAGATTTGGATATCGTTACATCCCTAATCATGAGCCTCCCCAACGTACCGTAAGCTTTCCCATGATATCGCAATAAATATCGTACCGTGAGGTCCATACCGTGACGATATCGTATCGTGAGACTTGGATACCGTTACACCCCAGTAGTTTGTATGCCTTCAGTATTAGTCTACAATCCAAATAGTAATGAAAATAAAGAAAGAACAAAAATGAAAAAAAAAAATGTGTACAAGCTCTTGACTGGTAGTGAAGGCAGGCATATTTTTGGTTCTCAGATGAGAAAAAAATAGTCATAGTGTTCATGAATTCAAAATGATGAGATAGAATCTGGTAACATAATGCATTCTACTGTATATTTACATAATAATGAAACAGATATGTATCTTACAACAAAGCACGTGTTTTTGAACATAAAAACATAACAAACCAACAATAAAGCCAAGCAGTGTTGTCCGGTTAAGAGTTCATTGGATATTGTGTTCGTCAGAAAAAGCCAAAGATGATGTAGGAATAGAAAAAAAAAGAGCAAGGAGTGAGATTCAGGAGAGACATTCATAAACTCCAAATACCCAGACAGGTGAGTGACCTAAAATATGTGCTACAGCTCTACCACTGAGCCAAACAACAGCCATCATTTTACCCCGAGAAGACTATATAGACACACTTCCTATTTCTGAAACAGTATCAAGATAAGATGGGACTATTCAGAAACTTCTATAAAAAGAGCGCTTTTTTATCTGATATGAAGTTTCCCACAAAAGCGCGGTGACATTTGAGCCTGCGCCTTTATGATGCAAGAGATGATGGAACAGACAGCATCAAGCGCAGACTGATAGGTGACAGGCTCCACTGGCTTAAGGTGCTGGGCAGACAGGAGTAATCAATAGTGGAGGGACGCGCCTTTGATAGCACTGTCAATTCAGCGCTCTCCCCGACAGCGGCGGAAGGATACATAGACACTGGGAGAAGAAAGAGGCAGGGGACTATATTCTCAGGCAAATGTGGAGGGAGTAGTAATTACAAGTAGTGGTAGTAATATTAGGACTAGAGTTATTAGGTATATGCAGTACAGATTGGCTGATATTTGCATGTTTTTGTTTAGAGCAATCACTCACCTAAAGGACATACTTGAAGCTTTGTAGTAGTGATGAAAGTTTTAGTAGCAAGAGCCCTATAGTAGTAGTAGTAGTAGTAGTAGTAGTAGTAGTAGTAGTAGTAGTAGTAGTAATAGTAATAGTAGTAGCAAGTTGCTGTTGCTGTTGCAGTAGGAGTAATGATACAAAAAAGTATTACAAAAGATAGAGGCAGAAAATATGCCCCAAACAAACAAAGGAGTAGATGTACTGTAAAAGTAGTTGAAGACATAGTAGTAGTCACTGCAGTAGCTGTAGCAGCAGCAGCAGCAGCAACTTTAGTCAGAGGTGGGACCGAGTCATTTTTTTTTTTGCAAGTCTCAAGTAAGTCTCAAGTCACAAGCCCATAAGTCCAAGTCATTCCAAGTCAAGACCAAGTCATCTGCTTTGAGCTTCAGTCATTTCAAGTATCAAATATAGCTTAGATTTTAGCAATTTATATGACATTTAAACTAAACTGTATTTACAAAGTCATGGTATATTTATATATGAATATTTTATATAAGAGTTGTAGAAATGCAAATTTTTCCTTTTTAAAAGTCTTGACAAGATCTTAGTGTGAATCATTACAGTTAGAATAGAAAGAATTAAGATTTAAAAATGCAGTTATTTTGTCGTGTAGTCTGCACTGAAACGGAAAGATCATGTTCTATGTAGTTCCCTTTGTTTTACTGTATTGTACTGTATATTACTGTATAGTATTGTAGTACATTTGAGTATCACAGTACTTCAGTTTGATCCAAAGTAACAAACACAGAAGTGGGAGGGGCATTTTCCAGTTTGTTCCTGTAAAATTAAGTGCCACATTTATCAACTGTAAAGAGACACGTATTTTCGACATATATTATAGGGGAAGCATCCAGTCTTCTCAAGTCACAGGCCTCAAGTCTGAGTCAAGTCCCAAGTCACTGACATTCAAGTCCAAGTCAAGTCCCAAGTCTTATTCCATTTTATCAAGTCAAATCTCAAGTCCCTAAAAAAGTGACTCAAGTAGTAGTAGTAGTAGTAGTAGTAGTAGTCGTAGTAGTAATAGTAGTAGTAGCAGCAACTGTAGTGACAGTCGTACTAACAGGATACAAAATATAATATAAGAAAAAGAATGAGGCAGGAAATACATTTTTTTTAGTAGCAGTAATTAGCAGCAGTTAAATAATAATAGAAGCTGTTGTAATAGTAGTAAGTGTTTGTAATAGCAGTGGCACAAAAGCAGTAGCAGAGAAAATAAATTTGAAACTCCTGCTCTATTTCAAACAGATTTTAGCCAATGTATCAGAGGCGCTGGTGTCTCCCCTGCTCTGCTCCTTTCTACATTTCTCTTCAATAGCGTGTCCCATTTTATTGCCCTGTGAGGAAAGTCATTAGGAACAAGAAACAGGGCTGAAAGGAGGGCCGGGGGGAGCCAAAAAGGTAACACGTAATGCAAGGAGTAAACACAAAGTATGTTAGTGTAGATTTCCCCATAGCTTCATTGGAGTGGACAGACTGTTGCTCAAAATAAAGGTGTTGTAATTGAGAGTTGAGAGAGGAAATTGTCCCCCGCAGAATTTAAGAGCATTGTTTTCAAAGCCAACTAAGAAATGTCATCAAGGAGCATTAAAGGTCCCGTTGGAGGATAAAGCAGTAACAGTGTTAAAGTCATTGGACAAAATTGGCCAAAATGTGTTATGAATACAAGAGCCAAAACTGTAATTAAATTGCTATGGCTTGGTCTATATATCAGTTTTTTCGAAGATGTGCAGAAATTACAAGCATTATTATTATTAAAATTGTAGCCACCTTTACAATTGAGTTTTTATTATAGAGAATATGCATAATATTGAAACATGGCATATCTCTTAAGCAACAATTTCACATATGTGTATATGCAAAGGTTAAGGTACACTTTATTATTTAGGGTAATTTGTCCTCTGCATTTGACCCATCCTTCAGTACTACTGGAGCAAGCAGTCAGGAGCAGTGGGTGTGCTCCTGGCTGTGCAATTAATCGAATTTTGATCAATTTATGTGTTAAATGACCTCCAAACACATATAATCGAGCTAAAGCTTAACAAAGTTTATTTTGGCATATCTATCTATATATATATATATATATATATATATATATATATATATATATATATATATATATTTTTTTTTATATATATATATAATATAAAAATAAGTATATTTATTTTAT